TCACAGTGTTAGTTGCCATATTTCTCCCACATTTTGATGAAATTTGATATGTATACTTGCCAGGTCTGAGGTAGGGTTGTTATCTATTTTTTATACCCCTAAGTTCTAGAGGTGGCCTACCCCGAAAAAATATTTTTTTGTATTATGGACAATTTTTTATTTATTTATAATGTTACATTGAAAATACATACACGCCTAAATTTTCACCTGTCTTTCACCAACCCCTATTTTTAATAGCGATATTCTTACAAATATTATAAATGCTAAAGTAACTCAGTCTGTCTGTTTGTCTCGCTTTCACGCCAAAACTACTGAACTGATTTAATTGAAATTTGGTAGACAGATAATGTAGACCCTGAGAAAGGCTACTTTTTAATGCGAAAAAGTATTGAAAGGGGAAATGAAAGGCTATATGAGGATATCGTGATTATTAAAGTCAGATCTTGTAAGATTAAGTGAACAGGGTCGGTCTAGGTTTTTCATTATTAGAAATGTGTAACGGGGTAACACGTTATTTAGTGCGAAATTGTGTATATTACAATAAAATTTAACGAGAAAATATTATAATGATGTCACTGGGACACTCATTGCCTTACTACTATATCGTCCGTTAGTCGCGAACTTTCTGGAAACACGAGAGGCGCGCTCCTATTGGTCGGTCGGCGCGGTTACCGCGCGTAGATGAGTAGATGAGGTAGACGAGTCTCACGGCGCCGCAGCGTAAGTACTTACTATACATACGTAGTATACATATGGGTGTTACAAATGTTTTTATTACGAGTAATATTACTCTGTTATCTAAGCAAGTAATGTGTGCTTATTTTGAACTTGATAACATTCTGAATTATTCGTACATCTTTCAATATCTTTAGCGGTATAAACCAGGTTATGTACTACTACTAGTATTGTTAGTGAGGGATAAAGTTGATGAACAAAAATAAAACAATATTCGTATTAAAAATATATTCATCTAATATTTTTGGCATTATTTTTAAGTTTCTTCCAAATACAAGGGGTCCGACATGGGGTGTTATGTACCTACATTAAAAAATACTTTTTGAAATGTATGTACCTACATTAAAATATAATTTTTGAAATGTATGAAAGTAATGTATGTACCTACATTAAAAGATAATTTTTGACATGTATGAAATGTATGTACCTACATTAAAATATAATTTTTGAAATGTATGAGATGTATGAAAGAAATGTATGTACCTACATAAAAGTTCATTTTTGAAATGTATGAAATGTACGTACCTACATTAAAAGATAATTTTTGACATGTATGAAATGTATGAAAGAAATGTATGTACCTACATTAAAAGATAATTTTTGACATGTATGAAATGTATGAAAGAAATGTATGTACCTACATTAAAATATAATTTTTGAAATGTATGAAAGTAATGTATGTACCTACATTAAAAGATAATTTTTGACATTTGAAATGTATGTATCTACATTAAAAGATAATTTTTGAAATGTATGAGATGTATGAAAGAAATGTATGTACCTACATAAAAAGTTCATTTTTGAAATGTATGAAAGAAATGTATGTATGTACCTACATTAAAATATAATTTTTGAAATGTATGAGATGTATGAAAGAAATGTAGGTACCTACAGAAAAGTTCATTTTTGAAATGTATGAAATGTATGGAAGAAATGTATGTACCTACATTAAAAGATAATTTTTGACATGTATGAAATGTATGAAAGAAATGTGTGTACCTACATTAAAAGATAATTTTTGACATGTATGAAATGTATGAAAGAAATGTATGTACCTACATTAAAATATAATTTTTGAAATGTATGCACCGTACAATAACAATACACGTTAAACATCATACCACAGAGTCATACGCAAGTTAAAAACAAACTGCTATGATATTTAATGAAAAAGGAAAATCAACTTTATGGTATTCGAGTTAGGGTCGAGTTCTCTCTTTTTTTTAAATACTATTTTAATCTTACCAGTTGCCAGTATTCGAAGACAGCTACGATTCGTACTCGATATTTTAAATTATTATGTAATCGATTTTTCAGTACAAATGTAAATAACCAACGACACTAATAATGTACTACTATATTCCGTTCTTTGAAACGGAACACTGCTATAATACAAAATAATGAAAATTTACTGTTCACAACGACTCATTAAAAGCATCATCGAATAATGCGCTGTAATAAAATCCTGTTATCGATTATTCAAAAAAATCGATAATACATGTATTTATTTTTAATATGACAACACTTCATACATAAGTATTATTGGAAATAGTATTACGTGCTTGTTCGGCTATTTTTAATTTACTTAAAAATTTTTTATATGTTTAATTTACAATAATAATATATTAAGTGCTTATTATTGGAAAATATAAAAAAGACATTTAATTAGGCCGATACAAATGACGACAATGCCATCTATGAAAGCATTTTGAAAACATTGAGCCCCATATTAGCACTGATTAAAGTGTAATTAAGTACTGGAAAATAACAAAATGAGTAAATATATGAAAATTACTTTTCTAAACGCATTATTTCATTTTAACATGTATATATAACTTTTTAAAAATTGATTAAACATTTTTGAAAACACAGTTTTGTTTTTTAAAACGTTTGCAAAACTTTAATTATTCCATCGATACCAATCACGCCATCTATATGCAACTTTTAGCAATAATAATGGCTACTTCCTCATTGTGTGCCACTGGTTAAAACTAAATAAGAAAACAAAATCTGTTTGTAATGTGTGTGAGGCTACTTCTCAAGAAAAACAAAAAGTACTTCGACACATAAGCACCGCATACGATTTGTAGCTTGTCACTTTCACAATTCCAATAAAAGCTGTATACTTATCACTCAAAACAGTTAGAGCGCCGTATTAGCCTTGTTTCGTTTATTGAAATATGACGTCATAGCTCGGAAATGTCACGTGACATATAGCCCAAGAGCCCACGACGGCCAGACTTACGTCTTATTAGTAAACGTGAAAGTTCTTGTATGTGTGTCCCCAACACAGGTAAGAACGATCCCCAAACATGAAACCTGGATCGTGGTTCCTTTGGCAGGTAACAGGTAACAAAGGTGTAAAAAATTTCATATCAAATTCGTTATTTTAAGAAACTCCATATTTTCATATATTGTTCGTAGCGTTATTATAACTTTCGCTGCTCATTGCCAGACACTTAGTGGTTCCAATCCCCCACCGGACCCCCCTAAACTATACTATTTTATAAATAAACTTACGTCATTTTAATAAAGCTGAACTTTATATATATTATTGAGAGAACTATTATACTGAGTTTCCTAAATAGCCAGACAGTTTTCTTGGTTCCTTATCCTACCAGACTCATTTAAACCGTATATTGGGTAACAACGGTGTATACAATTTCATATCAAATTCGTTATTTTAAGATGCTCCATTTTTTCACATATTGCTCGTAACAGTATTATAACTTGCTCTACTCATTGCCAGACCCTTAGTGTGATTCCTATTAGTTTATACCATCTAGAATAGATACGTGAAGTTATGGTACCTTACTGGCCATTTAAATTTGTTAATATAAAAAAGGAATGTACCTATGATTTTTAATGTCACTCAATAATAAAATACGATTATATCTGTTTGCATATTTAAATGATCTTTCCTAAACTCTTTATTTACGGACTATATTTATCTTAAAAATTCCAACCCCCCGCCGGACCCCCCTAAACTATACTATTTTATAAATAAACTTACGTTATTTTAATAAAGCTGAAATTTATATATATATTATTGAGAGAACTATTAAACTGAGTTTCCTAAATTACCAGACAGTTTTCTTGGTTCCTTATCCTACCAGTCTCATTAAAACCGTACTTGTATACCGAAATTGTATACACCGTTGTTACCCAATATACGGTTTAAATGAGTCTGGTAGGATGAAGAACCAAGAAAACTGTCTGGCAATTTAGGAAACAAGAACTTTCACGTTTACTAATATGACGTATGCTGCCATTAACCGTGATACCTCACGGGTAATGGCAGCCCATCGCTTGCAATAATTATGGGACGGTAGTCCCATTTTATTGATCACAACTAACTTTTTAGACGCTATTTTGCCTGGTCTTCCAAATATCCATAAGACTGAACGTCACTAGCAGTATCAACGCCAAGAATTTCGAGGTTTAGTTTGACATCAAAGATTTAACTGCAAAAAAGACAACATTTATCGTATCTTCTCAGTTTGAAGACACTCCTTTTGATTACGATCCAAACGCGCATACAAATTAATATGTTAAGCGTTACTTAATTTTGTGTTGTATACTAGAGTTTCCATACATATAGTAATTTTTATACATTATAAGCTAAAAATTGAAATTTTTTTTAAACAGCTAAATATTTTAAATAGATGTTAATTTTATGAAATACGAAGTCTTTGTTTTAGTGAAAATTATATCAAATCTATTTTGATAGAAAAACATTATATTCATTAGGTAATACTTATATTTGATTAATTTTGAGTTAAATGCCTTTTAAATTTAAAACCCATACTTTACTTCCTAATTATCTATAAAATATAAGTTATTAATATATATAGATATATATAGTAATAAATATAGGTTATTAATAGCCATAATCCTATTTAAAAATTGCAAAACCTGGCAACATAGGTAATGTCCAATTTGTCTCCGGGATCAAAAAATAATTGTTTATTGCCCTCAGATGTTGTGCTGATAATATACCTAACGCGAACGAAATTGTCAAACTTTACTGAGCAAACTGAAATAAGCCACATGTACAAATTACACTGTATCTCTCAAACCAAGACTGGGGCAAAAATTGGTGGCGGCTATCATTATTATATAGTATAAAACAATGTCACACTGGCTGTCCGTCCCCATGTATGTTTAAAATCTTTTTAAAATAAGGAAGACTACATGCCATTCCAATTGTGTTATATTTTAAGAGAAAAATATAAAGTGAAATAAAACCATAGTTAGAGATTCCTTATAATGTAATTTACAACTATATGTTTTTTCCAAGTCCATTAACAGTTATTTTATTTAAACATGGTAGTAACTCTACAACATAATCCACGATTACAAGGATAAAACAAGCACATTCATTTAATTCTATCCACTAGTCAAATTGTTATTATAGGAATATAATGACAATATCATAATCAATAATAATACATTAAAATGCATTTCATTATCTGAAATAAAGTTATTATGATAACAATATACTTGATTCACAAAATCATTAGTCACTCTGGGGACATTTAAGTAATTTATTAAGTATTAATTCATAGCACGACTCTGCCATACGTTACATATATCACAGCACTTGTAAAAATTGCGATTGTCAAAAGACGAAAATATTTACAACTCATGTATTTTAACACAGTAGAAACCCCCAGAGGAAATGTTGAAACTCTAAAAAGAGCAGTCAATAACAATTACCAAATTAATTACTTACACACTAAACAATGTTATAATGATTTATCTACGTTGTCGGCGCTTCTTGTTCGTGCGGACATTATTTCCATTCTGCGAATGCTCTTGTGACGGCCCACTACCGAATACCGGCGGGACTGGAGGAGGAACCGGAGGGGGGACTGGACGCGGGACTGGAGGCAAGACTGGACGCAGGCTTGGACGCAGGAGTGGAACCAGGTCTGGAGACAGGGCTGGGCGCACTGGAGGCGAGGGTGGTGGATGTACCATATTCTGAAGTGCACCGTGCTGTCTACGCGATATGGCCATTCGGACATTTGACACAACAGCACTTTCGGGTTGTTCTACTGGAGGTTGAGTTGCGTTAAGCGCCGCCCTTATTCTCTGCCGCATCCGTCTACGTGCATTTCGGGACAAATGCGGACGTTCAGAGTTATCGTCCTCATTATTAACATTTGGTACCACTTCGGCGGAGGCTGCAGCCGTACGTGCTGCGGCAGCTGTACGCGGTACAGCAGCCGTATGGTTGCCTCTAGTGCTATTTTGAATTCTAGACCTCATTTCTGCTTCTGAGCGTACCAAAGCATTAGCTTCGCGACCGAGTGTAGCGAATGCACGGGATAGCCGAGCGACATCATTTTGTAAATCTTGTAGGAAGGGTTCTAGGTCGTGAGATACAGGGGCTAGACCGTTGTCGCGATCGTTGCCACGGCTGGCCACACGAAGGACGGCCCGTGGCTGTGTCTGATGCGCTAGCTGATCCATAGGCGTGCGTCGGACGCACAGTTTACCGCTAATGGCGGCAGGCGCGACTAAAGCGCGAGCGTCTAATCCGGTCACCATCAAACAGTGACCGCGTTTCTTCAGTGAACCTTCACACGATCTAACGGACCATACCTACAAAATAAATAAGCAGGGTTAGTTAACCAATAAAATGAAAGAAATATATATATTCTATTATTTATTACTTATGATGCTGTTTTTAAAGTAATTTCAATATTATTATGTAAAATTTCTATGTACATATATTTGAATGTATACATCTATACATATAAATTGGAGTATGTTTGTAATATTGAAATTACGTTTTTTTACTACATGCATATGAATATAAATATGGTACATGCACCAATATAACTTTTTTTACAATTTTTGTCTCATTTGTTTGTTCCGGCTAATCTCTGATAAGGCTGGACCGATTTTGACGGGACTTTTATTGGCAGGTAGCTGATGTAATTAGGAGTAACTTAGGCTAGTTTTAATTAACTTTTTTGTTAAATTCCACGCGGACGTAGTCGCGGTTACTGTTAGTCCTATTACATAATTGTTCTACCCGGGCGACCACGGAATTAATCTCTAGTAGTTAGACATACGGAGCTAGCGCTTGTAAGTATAATATCTAAATAGCCTGTGGTACAGGATAATATATTTATATTTGATAACGTCATTTGGGTATTTTTTATGTTAAACCCGGACACTTCACACAGCGCCATCTAGTTCCAAACTAAGAAGAGCTTGTGTTATAGGTACTAATCAACTAATAAAAATACTTCAATATTTTCAGGTTGTTAATGTTTATACCGTTGATTGCTGGTCAAGGACTATTTTTGGCGACCGACCGCCACAAACTCTTTTGATATTTTTATTATTTTTGGATATATATTTTTAGAACAATTCTTTTATATGTCATGTTATTTGATATACTTCACTTTATTGCTACATTGTTCTTTCGATAGTTCGCAACTGCTTATTAATATATTTTATTATTATAATATACAATGATGGAATGAAGGATGTCAAACATGGAAATTCACCGCTAAAGCTACAAATAGAATCAACGTATGTCAAAGAGGACTAGAGAGAAGCATGCTTAATATTAAAAAATCAGACAAAATAAGACACACCAGGATTAGAGGGATAACTAAAGCAATTAATGCTAAGAGTTATGCAAAGAAGCTCAAATGGAAATGGGCAGGACATATCGCGAGAGTAACAGACCAGAGATGGACAACGCAAGTAACTTTGTGGAGCGGACCACCAGGCAAGAGAAGTAAAGGAAGACCTTTGACTCGCTGGGAGGATGATATCAAACGAGTAGCTGGCTCAAACTGGACATTAGTAGCACAAAACAGAGACAAATGGACACCTTTGGAGGAGGCCTTTACCCAAAATGGGGTTCTTGATAACTAAATATATGTAAATATATAAATACATATTAGTAACAAATAGATTAATAATAATAAATACATATAGTAAATAATAATAATAATAAAAATACTTGAATATAAATTAACAAATAGTGATAAATATATATTTCTAAGTTACTAACACCATAAATTTGTAATAAGCAAGAAATAAAAAGGCTTTTTTAATTTTTAATTTAATTAATTATAATATACATGTTATCATCATTTAGACACCCATACAGTCCGCCTATCCCTTATACCTAACAATGCAGTTAGCTGATACAGTAAACTGAGTTGTAATATATCTCCGCGACACACTCGAATTTCTTATTAATACTAAATAGGATTATCCACATAATCGTTGCCTGACTTTCAGACTCATAAGAAAATAAATTTTTAACTCAACTTTGTAACAGTAAATAAATATGACTTATTATGAAAACATATATCGAATATAAATCATACATTACCCAAAAATACAGGGAACTACAAAAAATCTAATTGTATTACATAAATATACAATTAATAATGATACATTTTTAAATGGAGATTGTTAATTGATAAGACACGTTTAAAAAGATATGTACTTACACTGTCTGAAAAAATTGCTTCCCGATCGTTTCCTGATATCGTAACTGAGTAAGAAAACACTTGCGCTACCCACGGTGACGCCGCCATTGACAGCCAAGCACAAACTGAATCGTCTAAAAAGATATGACACCACTTACAAAAATGTGCGTGTGTATTGTGTTATTAATAAATAAAAAGAGGAAAAACCTATAATCCAATAAATAAAAATTTTACCACAGCAGCCAGCATGAACATTTTTGCAACAAAATATTCAAAATATCCACGGAATCGCAAACGTGCCGTGGAAAGTAGTACTAATATAGGTATTAACATTTCATAAGAGAACAGTTTCTGTCACTTTTTAAAAATGAAATATCATCATAAAAATGTTAATGTCAATTCGCATCTTGATAGTAACTAAAAACTACTATTAATCTTTATTTCTATTCATCATAAAAATGTAAAAATACTAAAATTTATAAATATACCACTTGCATCCGTAACCGTGTAACCACCATATTTTCTAGTTATACTAATTAAAGATTAGAACTGCAATGGACTGATGAGCAGAAAAACCTTTTAATATTATAAATGTATCAATATTAGACTACGCGCGTATGCGTAAACATGTTTTAAATTTCATCCAATCTTCAAAACATGTTTTGTGCAACTACTTACAGTGACTGATTTATGTAGTTATCTCTGTATTTTTTTAAAGTCATGTTGTATCATGGTGGTCTTCTCTGAATTAGTAGTAGTAGTAATAGTAGTATAAGCATTAATTATTACTATTTACTTATAACTATTAAAGTCATTATTCTGAATGTAACTTGCTACACAATTGGCCGTGCGGCAACGAATTCATAATACGCGTTTAGGTTTACATTTAGAAGATTAACTGTTATTAAATTGTCATTTAATTAAGGGCAAAAATGATTTGAATTAAATTTGGCAAATAGCCTAACACTTTGAGTAACGTTTAGTGCCTCAAATAATATATTGAAATATATATAGTATTATCTATTCTAAACATGATGGAATAAAAAATATTTTTATGATGTTTAATATAATCTATATATAAATATTTGCACCGCCTACAATTTTTCTGCACAACCTGTGGTTGATTGGTAGAACATGCCGTAAGACATTGAGCCCGCCATATGTACTTTTACCTCGGTGTTTTGTGCATTGAAGTTTCATAAATAAATGAAATATAATGGCCGTATGCATTTATCTTAGATACTTGAAATGTAATTAAATTGTAATGTATACTTACTACTTATTTCAATAACAAGAAAGAATATGCCCATGTCTGCAACTCGCACTGCAGTGACAATTCTGCCTGGAGCTGTGGAAAATTGCCACAGTTGGACATACTCTCTTCCGTCATCTGATTGACCCTGCATATTACATACAAATGTCAACAAAAAATACATGATTCAATAATAATCTATCTATCTAAGATTGAAACTCAGATTACTAATATTAAAAAAGGGCAAAACATAACATGAAATTGAATATATATAGAAAATAATATTTTGAGTTGATTACCATTATAAATTGCGTGTTAAATATGTTTAAATAACAATGAAAAATATCAAACTATGAATAAACATAGAAACAAATGAAATACTTTTATTTACCTCAATCAGATCAGGAGAGTGAAAATAACGTAGATGGTTCAGCAAACGAGCAGCTGGCAGGCGTTCTCCATTGCCATTTTTGCAGCAAAGACAACGGAACAAACCCTTGCATGGTTGAGGAGCTCTGTGTAACGAACGCTAAAACAATAAACGTCTTTATCTTGAGTATCTAAACATAATAAAATAGAGTAAAAACTGAATCAGTCAAAGACTTCAAGAACACCTGGAGGAATTAAGATGAAATTGCTACAGAATAAATTGTTAATCATGAGTCAAAATGTATGCTTGCCTAAATGTTGACATATATTCAAAGCGGAGAAAAATGAAATAAATGAAACAATAATATTGAATAAGTACTGTTGTTTTATTTAATAATAATAATATATTAATAACCCTGACAATTCACACAGTGCTATTTAGTCCCAAGCCGAGCACACACACATGAATACAAATGTTTGCACTGTGCAAGGTATAGAATTCGCGACATCCAGCAGTAAAACGGTGTGCTAAACCACTAGACCACTGAGGCCACATTTACTTTTATACTTTGATTATTACATATTACTTACACAGCATCTACAAATTTATGAAAATATACATATAATAGTAGATATAAGAACTTACAGTTGAAGCCTCAGAATTGTTTTCATCATTTTCGGCAGGAATAGTCTCAGGCTCTATAGATGCTGCAACTGCAGGCGGCGAACTCTCTACAGATTCTGCCCCTGTTGTTACCTTCCCACCTAATTTCTGTAATATAACATTTATATTACAACACTAATAAAATTTATAACATAAATATATTTCAGAATAACTTTTATAGTATTAACTTACAAAAGCATGCAGTTTTCTGACATTTGCTATGAGCTCTTCCATAGCATAATTTCGTGTTCCAAAAAATAAAGCACGGCAAACTGGACACATGTCAAGCCGCACTTTACATCTCCCACAAACATGATGACCTTCATTGCATTGAAAAATCTGTCCAGAAGGGATCTCATAGCACACAGGACATTGCAATAGATCATCTAAATCTGGCAAAGATTCAGGCTGAAAAAAAAGTCATAACCACAATTATATTTCAATGTTAGAAAGATAATAATAAAACAGGTTTCTACTTAGTTTAGGTTCCAGGGAACAATGTAAGTATTGAATGAAAATTAAAAATGATTATTGTTTGTGATTTAAAATATAGGAAAAATAAATGTGGGCATGTTACGTGAAGGAGTGAGGCGCATGTTTTAAAGAAAGTACTTAATGTGAATGGATAGAAAGGGAGAGGACAAGAAAAAAAAAAAGTTGTATAGATTGTGTGAAATATGATATGTAGAAATGGAGAAGCTCAGATATGTCTGCAGATAGGGATCAGTGGAAGAAGAGGACATACTGTGCCGACCCCAAATAATAAGATGAAAATTAGACAGTCTGTTTTTTAATCCCGGAGATGTAAATTAACATGTGTAAATATAAAAATTTCTAATAACGTAACAACCTATAGCGGGGCAGTGCTGTACCTGGGATACTAATTCGTATAATGTGAACATTTTATTTTAACATATTGTATATAGTTTTAAAGCTTTAAATGATGTTTCTACAACAGATATTCAATATTTACGTACATATACTAATGTTTCCATTACAGACGTTATATTATACATTGTTCTTTGAGAATAGTTATATTTAACAATATAAAGCTACAAACCATCAATTTTCTCTTTCAAATATCTAAATATTTAAATTAGTTGTATGTTTTATAACATATGTTACCATACAAAGGTCATTTGTCTCACAAAAAAGGCTCTTAGTATTTATTTCAGTGAAAAATATAAAATCTGTTTTGATACAACAACCCTATATTTATTCATACTTCCACTGTATTAATTTTGTGATAATGCGTTTTGAACAAACACCCACAAATTATTTCTGGGTAACCTATAAAAATGGGTAATTAATATTAATTTCCAATAATGCCACAACCCTATTTAAAAATTGCAAAAACGGTAACATTACAGATTATAGTCTATTTCTATACTGGTTTAAGTGTGTTAATAATGTATTTGAATTTTTAGTGTAATCACATTATACCTAATCAAACAACATGGTATTCAAGTACAACACAATTTTGTATTTTATCATATTTATTTCTCTTCTGTCTTGTTTAATTTCTCATTGTGTATATTAATTACTTCAGCCTTGATTTTTGTCAAAAAGTACAATAGAATATGTAGTAGATACCCCGTCTAATAATATTATCTATATATATCACTTATATTTTTATAATTATTATTACTTACATCTTCATCTCTCAGGGTTAAGTATTTATTTATGTGAAATATCAAATCTCACTATTGTTAAACTTCTTATACATTATTTCAATAAAAACAATATAAGTGTTTATCACTCTTGAAAAATAACTTTTTTTTTTAAATATTGATATGCATATATTTTTTAATAGCAGTTTTAATTTATATAGCAAAACAATGTTTGTCAGGAAAGCTATTTATATACACATATTAACTATAATATAATATACTCAATAACACATGATATGAGCCATCCTTAATATACTATAGTAAGCCATCTGGCTACTTAGGTAATAGTGGAGTGAATAGTCACTCCATTATGGCCCTATTATTTAAACTAAAGTTAATAGGTTATTGTGATGATATATTTAAATCACCTTTATTCTCAGATTATAGCAGTATAATAGAAATACAATTATGCTTTGCTAGGACAGTTATTCTATTCTACCCTTTTAAAAATGTTAAATATAAAATTTAATTGAAAATGTTAGTAAGCATCATTGCAAGATGAAATTACCTATATCATTTAATAATTAGTATTTGTTACTATTGACACAAATTAATATATATAATTAAAAATAAAATTACCATATACTTAATAACTACCTAATATTTACCTATACCTTATTATTTCATTATACCTGAGTAGGTATAATGAAATAATAAGGTCTATTAGGCTTACTTAGCCTTGCATTCATAAATTATTTCGCCTCTATTCGAAATAAGAATGTACCCTCATGTAGTGATTTTAATAAATATAACTATGTAGTACATAAAAAGGTAGACAATATAACCAAAATCAAGTTATACATGTCCGATACAAAACTCCTAGCAAATAACAAATATACTAACAAACAAAAGAATCTTCCTAAAAATCTACTTAGCGATCCCATTATTCATTTAGACGACTCCTAACTAATAAGTAATTTAGTCAAAATTATTATTATTATTATATATATAAATTAGTATTTTTTTGTATTTGTTCAATATTTTGTTACTTCTAAAGGTAGCAATTTATAATATTGTATTGTGTACTTGGATGTACCTAGGCAATTAAATCAAGGATGTCTCCATCTTGTTGAACAGTCAAGTATTGTAATTTTTTAAAATTAAAGAGAAAAATAAATACAAAAACTATACATGAATAGTATTAAATTTTGTTAAGCGCTACTAATATCGATTTACCGACGAAATGAACAATGATATGGAAATTTAAAAAGAATACTTTCTCAACAGACCTTGATTTCCGCGTTTCCTGCCATCATGCAGACGCCACAGTTAAAAATGATAAAATCTACTTCAAATAATATAAATTTACTATTTTTTAGGCAGCAATAAAAACGAAAAATTATAACTGAAAATCAGCCAGCTGTAGTTTCAATAAATGGCGTCGTGTTCACAGATCAGAAAGACAGCCCTGTTGTACGTTTCGTTCTTTCTTTTTGTCCCCCTCCAGGATTCAACAGAACAAACTGTCAGGCATTGTTGCCAAATGACCATTTGGTATTTCTCCCAAATTTTATAAAAAATCCCCTAAAAATAAAATTTTAAAGGAAAACGCCATTATAAAGTTACTTCTCTTCAATCTCGAATATTTGTTTACTGCGTGCCTAATAATATCTTGTTTATTTATATATTTATAAAATCCTCTCAAATTTATTGGAACACATCCACTGCCATTATTTTCCAAAGCCGTAAAGGTAAATTATTTTAAAAAAACGTCTCCATCCATTTTCAAAAGTGCGGCCATTTTGAATTTCTGAAATTATCAATTTACTACATAGGGAGTTGTCATTCTGAATGTTAAATCTATTACTAATAACTTATTATTTTTAATATTAAATACTGTTAGAAAAATATAGATTTTTAGTTAATAATATAAGATTTTTACTAGAAATAAAAATTGGTAGTAAATTTAATGGTAATCGATGAATATTTTTTCACAATGTTAATAGTAGGCAGCTAGTAACTAATCAATACTAGCTGGACGCCAAATATGTCAAGATAATGCGAATTTAACTTTGACATTTAGTTACTGCATATAAATCCCATTTGTAGTGCGAAAAGTATTAAAAAGTTACTAGTTTAATTATGAATAACCATTATGTTCTTACATTCTCAAAGAACAATAAGTTATAGTTCTTAGGATCGAATCTATAACAGCGTATAAACTAATGTAAAGCAAGTTACTTGGCGATTAAAATGTATGTAGACAGTCCAGTGAACGAGTGCGCTGTGCAATTATTCGTTATCTGTGTTCATTGCAGTCATCTGTGGCACATTAAAAAGACTGTGGTTCTTGTCATTATTTAATTGTATTTTATCATTTTGTTATTAATTTTTGATTTTATTCTCTAATCTATTTGCAAATATATAAATTAGTATTCATATGAATATATATTTTTAAATACTGATAATAATATGAAAAAATATATAAAATGAATTTTAATTATTCATCACTATTGTTTATTTATGTTGTTTTTAGATGTGAGTATTGTATTTCAAAACTGATCCATGTTGTTACTATTCTGTTTTTCTCTTCTCCTTTACTTTTTATTTTCAGAAACAATACTGCAGTTTTTCTGTGTAAACTATAATAATGAACAACAAAAGTACTTTGTCTAAAAACTTACTCATTGCATGACGCATGCACTGTGAATGTGAAAGGTTTTTGTGGGAAAATATTCCTCTATAAGTTCACTATTTCTCTTTTCAGTGTATAACTGTGCCTTCCATATCCATAGCTGAAAAACTAGTTTTAGGGAGTGACATAAAATTGTTTGTTTATTCAGTACAGGTTGATACATAATCTTTTCTAATTAAACAGATACTATTCATAAACATTACATTCAATTAATAATTTATCTATGTTCTGCAGAATTTCATTACATTGAGCATGCCAAAGGCTCATATTCTTAGTCAGATGATTTATTGCAATTTAGCACTCTTGTATTCAATGATTTACATAGAATTTTACTTTGTTCTTATATACAGCATTAGTTTATAACAAAAGTTTAGTAAGTTTCCATTTCATAATGGTTTCTTGATACTCTTTGATAAAATAAGTTTTGTTATATATTTATTGAGGCTTACCATTCTGTATGTTAATACAGATTTTTTATTTATATTATTTTTTAATTTGTACATCAGATGGATGCTGTGAGAGACTTCATAAGCAAATATACTCATCAATAGAAGGTGGTGCAGCATGCTTTAGAAGATTAAATGGAACACATCAAGTGGGATGTTCCTGTAAGTACTTAAGTATATACATTGAAATAGAAATATACTAATTTATTTAAATTTGCTTAGAACATAATGGAACCTGCTTATAACATAACATAATACAATTTAATCTTAGTTTGTATGTGCAACAATGGGCTTAAACATTAGGCTATAAAGTATTTGACTAGAGTGGTTAGTGGGGCTACGCTCCTTTTGTATTGTCATTAAAAATCATAATATTTTTAATTAATATTTATTAATAATAATAAACCTATATTACAGCATCAGATAAAGGTGCAGTTGGTGTGGTAGCCTTAATTCGTGATTTGAGCGATGCCCAATGGTTAGCACTGAATGCCACAGCTGGTCCCTACATTGCTGTAGTTGGTACCTCATTGTTCCATGGTGTTATGGATGTACTACTGGACTACCCTCAAAATGTGGCAGGTGTTTTGGTATTTGACAATGCAACATTAGGGTAAGTGTTAACTGTTTTCTAATTACTTTAGCTACTTATGTAAAGACTTTGTAAAAGCCGCCTCTGTCTCACCTAATTCACCTGCCAAGCAGCATACTAATCATGTAGCAGATGATAGATAATGGGGAAATTACAAGGTAGGGATTTAAATCATAATTTCTCTGCAATGGCAATGAATGAATAGTATCACTGGCATCACTCAATCTGTAATTCACTCATAAAAGTGGCCATGAAATGTCCTTTCTCAAGATAATATGCTATGAATATATTGTAATATTTTTTTAACCTTTCGTAATTGATCAAGTAACTGCAATTTTCTTGGAAAATTCTGTACACTTTTAATATTTATATCACTTAACTCAAAAATTATTTATACAACAACATTATACAAACATAACAAGTTAAGGTATAATCATTCGGTTAGGTTATTCACTTTTATAATAATTAATCCTGCTAACTTTGAAGAACATTTTGGTTAACCAGTGTTGTTGTGGATTAAAATAATTTGAAATTGTCTGTATTTTAGTACCAGTGCTTTTACTCAAGACTCGAAATGCCCAAATGAGTATACATCAGGCCCAGGAAGTCAATGTTCTTCTGATTTACAAGATAACAAAGTTTGGAATGAAAATGGTTCTGATCTGTTGAGAACAGATATTCCATTTCCAATATTCTTCTTACCAGAGTCAAGATTTGAGGAGATTACTAAAATAGAAACATGCTTTGAAAGGTAGTAATTTTTGTTATTTCTATTTTTACATATATATTTACATTGTTTTTGCAAAATGACTAATATCACTATGTCATCATCATTGCCTTGCCTTTATCCCAATATTTGGGATCAGCACAATATGTCATTCTCTTCCACTGATCTCTGTCAGCCGTCATAACTGAGCATACTATCTTTTTATCCATATCATCTTTCACATAATCCATCCATCTTTTTTTAGGGTGTCCTCTTCCTTTCCATCCATCCACTTATTAATATATATATATATTGATTTTGCCTTATTAAATCATTAAAAACTAAAAGAACTACGATATTAAATTACAAAACAAATACAAGTTCAAATGTTTTTTTATTTTAATCTTAATGTTACAGATATAACCTTGACAGAAACAATCACAAGAATGTACCACTATGTTCAATTCAACTACATTCCTTCATGTTCGCTGCAGTTAATAGTGCAGTCTGTTTAAGGAGGTTAGTATCATATTCATTACAAAGAATCAACATATATGAGTTATGTTTTAAATTGATGATAATGGTATGGTGACCCACCAGCGCCAAAGTTCTGGCGGGGCACCCGTGGAAGATGTAGCATTTTAATAATCATAAGCATGAAATCAGGTTGTATTAGTTAGCCCAGTGCGCCGAAATTACCAAGAATTAATCACATTGGTTTTCAGGGAGGATCACATGAGCTGGTACATTGTTGTTCACGTTGTCACTAGTACCCTTTACCATTAGCATCCTTGCTCCCAATCGGCAATTTTTTTATTGTGTAATGGAAAAATTAGGACATACCCACACTTAGATTTATTGTAATATATTTATTTGATTTTCAGATCCGCCGCAACAGCACTTTTAACGCCAACAAAAGTGTGTGATCCACTGGGTGATAGTAATGTTTATTATTCACTCTTTCCACGAGGGACGGTTAGTTTTAACCTTTGTTACTAATTACCCATGTTTTTAATATTTGAATAATTTTAAAAAATGTTTTTATTTTATTTTTAGCAAACGGAATCAACTACGAAACCTGTGATCTTGGTTACCGCTCGAATTGATTCAGCTTCACTTTTTGATGGTGAATATTTGGAATGTTAATTCAAGCCTCTATATATATTGAAAACATCATTGTGTTTTGAAACTAACTATTTTCAGGCGTTTCTCCCGGGGCGGCTAGTTCGGTAATCGGGATGGTCACCTTAATAACTGCAGCCACAAGTCTGGCTCATATGATTCCCGAAGAGGATGCTAACTTGTATGGTATGATATAATTACTAAAAATATGGTAAACTCACCCTTATTTTTAAATGACACCTAACGGCTATAGACGTATTCTATAATCTAGTTTATTTGTACTGTATGTACGCTTAAAATTTTTAAAAAGAAAATAAACATTTCTTGTTTAGAATATCAACTTTTCGAAAACTATAATTGAATTCAAGATTCAAAGAAAATTTATATTATCAGAAAATTTTATTCGCAGTTTTATTTGTTTATTTTTTATAAAATATACTGTAATTGAAAAGTTTAGATAAAATATTACAAGTAATAAAAAAAATGTAACAACTTGTATATCAACCATGTGGAAGTACATTACATCTGTAACAGGGATTCACTAGCACAGGTGTAACAGTCTATAAAATAATTAAAACTCTCAAATAAAGTAATACTATTATTTTGAAATGCATGCAATGCGACTCTATGTCTGCATACAGCTATGTTATGTCCCTTAAACAGTTTTTAATATCTCATAATTTATTTTGTTACACCATTTAAGCATTCCGTATGTTTATAAAATATTAATTTATAGATCGCAATGTGTTATGGACTTTATTTAATGGCGAGGCGTTCGACTACATTGGGTCTCAGCGAGTCGCGTATGATATCAGCCGCAATGCTTGGCCCCCATCTGCTCCATTATCTCCATCTGATATACCTCTACACATAGAATTGGGACAAATTGGAGGTTCATTGATATTAAACAAAGACAATGAATCTTGGCCATTGTATGGTTTTACTCCAAATAGTTTAGATAAGGTCTGTATAATATTTTTACTATTTGCGTAATGTATAACTATATATATAGCCAGTTTATGTATTCTACCATACATTAGGGTATTTCATTATAACCAGACGTTGAATCATTTCAAGTAGTGATGTTGCATAATCCTGAGGCTTGCTGCTTCCTGAGATTAATTTTTATCCAATATGGGCGTTTTTTCTCATACATATTTTAGACATTACTGATATATCTACATTTTTCATATTATTGTATACACGAAATTTATAATGTAATGTAGTGCCTATATAAATATAAATTTAATAATGATCCTGGACCAGCATTACATTAGATTACGTGTGTCAATGCCTTTCTGGCGAGGCGTTTCTATATCGTCAATATAATTAATTAACGTCATATATAATCAAAACTTAGTGGTTAAGAATGGAGACATTCAAGTCTTAAATTTTTTAGACAGAAATAAATATGTAGTCAGTAATATAAAAGTAATATTTCCAGGTATCACAGATATTAGAAGAACTAAATATGAACCTGAATGTGTCCAACATAACATTAAGCCCAGTCTTCACAGAGAACTTGCCTCCATCATCTTTACATTCATTTCGACGTATACTCAAGAATGTCACTGAAAGCGGGGCTTTGACTGAAGTACTTTTAACAGATTTTAATGAGAAATTCACTAATATGTTCTACAATTCTGCATTGGACGATTATGTTAAAATCGGATTTCTATATCACAACATTACTGTAGATAGTAATGGCACATGTAAGTTTTATAATTATAGAACATTTTATGCTGAATTAATATAATTATTCTCATACTATGATACTTTTTTGAGAAGAGAAGTATCTTCTGAATTAATCCAGCGTAATTTTATTTCAGTTATACCAACGGATGAGCTGATCTCAAATGGAACCATGAAGAAAACTGAAATTCAAGTAAAGATTGCAAACCTCGCTTCTGCGGTAGCGCGTACCTTGTATAAAGAAGTAGTTGGTAACGATTACGCAGGGAATGTGACGGCGTCGGCACATTTGGTACGTTTGTGTAAAGTTTGCGACAAACTCCTTCATCAATACTCTAGGCAAAGCAGCAAGACTTGCTGTCAATCAAGTCATGCTGTATTAGAACCGTAATCAAATTAATAAACCCCATCTATTATTTCATATAATTACAATGTAAAACTATTAATTAACATTGTTGATATATTTTAAAAAATTAATGGACGAAGTATTCATTATTGCCGACGGCATGAGGTAACGCAATGAAATCTAATGCATGATTACAGTTTCATTAAATGATGGGAAAAGCACGAACGAACAAAAACATTTGGTATCTTAAAACTTGTATAAAAGGAGAAGATGCTCAAATTTGACAGCTGATAGGGATCAGTGGAAGAAGGTCACATGCAGTCCTCAAATAATGGGGGAAGGCAAGCCGGTAATGAAAACTAATAGCTGCCTGTAAAGGCAGCTATTAGTTTTCATCATCGGCGTACTTGTAAAAGTACGCTCTTTTACTCGCGAAGCCTATCACGCAGGAATGAATATGCAAATTTAGACAAAGAGAACGGGACAGACTGCGTGCACCGCCAGGTCACACGCTCGATTTCTTGAGTAGTGTGTGCACAATTATCTCTTCGCCTCTTTTTAGCTTTAATTTTTCTATCCATCCAGAGGCAGTCTGGAAGAAATCTGATTCTAAATAATTGAAACGCAGTAATTACTATAAAAGACCTTTAGTTTAATTTTAAGCAAGTGATAATTACAAAACCGTATAGATCAGAGAGAGTGAATGATGACCGACCATGAACGAATACTCAGTGAATGTAAAAGGTTGGCAACATAATAATGGAAGAATACAAGTTGACCGACCGCACAATGAATCAATGTGTAGCATCGGCATATCTAACGGATCCGTCGTGTATTTGATATTTTAAAATGTCAGGTGGACGAAATGCTGTACTGCTTGGTGAGGAGCCAGGCGTGCCGGCTGCTGGTGGCGGCGGACTACGCGTGGAGCGGGTCGCGCGGGGAGCGGCCGCCGGAGCCGCCGCCGGCGCTGTACGTGGGCGTGGCCGCGTGGGCCGGCGCCGCGCCCGTGCTCGCCGGACACCTGCTGGCGCTGCTCGCCGGCCGCCCGCGCGCCGCCCGCGACCGCGCCCACTGCGACGCCCTCGCTCACCCGGTACCGCCCTCGCATCACTCCCTTCAACAATTCTGAGACCGCGTTACTAATTATTGACTAATAAATTTAATAAGTAATCGAAGGTATTTGATAAGATTGTATATTATTTCAGAATTATTCATTCTACTGGCTAAATGGTTGGAACCACACGGGAGTCTGTATTCAAACCACTATGAATTTTAGTCAGGCTGTTAGTCCTGCGTTTATAACACCAGGTATGTTAATTATTTATATATTACCTTTGTTAATTATAATAGATAATACATTACGTACTTCGTGTTTTGAACAGTCTCTAAGAATATTTTCATATAACTGATAATAATATTATACCATCACTACTATTATCCCATCTGGGATAATAGTAGTGACGGTATAAGGAATATCAGCTGTTGCTGTATGCAACTCACATTTCGCTCGGAATACTCGGCAGGACATTCTACCGCCGTCTCACGGATAAATTTTTAATTTGATATCTGTGTTTCCTTCATTGGAGAGTCATTGAAATGTATAACCTTTCAACTGTTAGCTGTCAAAATGACATTAACACCCCATCTGTGAGACCAATTTCAGGACTTCTCACAAGAGAGGATTTGGGATTGTGTGTGAAAATTATTGGATGCTCCAAGTCCAAGAGAATAAACTGACGCAAATTATTTAACACATATTAATACAGTCCTTGACACAACAATATATCTTAATTATACAGACCCGAAGAATAAAATCACCTTATAATCTATGCGACAGTCCAATGTTACCATTCTGAAATGTATGGACTGCTATTTGAACAGTCACTAAAGTATAACAAGTGAGCTACGTGCGCAGGGTACGACTTCGCGTCGGGAGCGTACTCGACGTGGACGGAGTCCGTGTGGCAGACGATGTGGGCGCGCGTGTTCGTGGCGGCGGGCGGGGGCGGCGCGCGGGCGGCGGCGGTGGGCGGCGCGGGCGCCACGCTGCTGGCGGCGGCGCTGACGGCCTGGCTGCGACGCCACGCCGCCGCCGTCTTCACGGCACCGCCCGCGCGCGCCGACGCCGCGCCCAGCGTGCACAGCGCCGCCGGGTCAGTACGAATTCATTATTATTTACCCCTCCCTCCGTATTTATCACTGGACTCTAACCTAATGTTGCGTTACATATTTCTGAATATCTTAGTAAACCAGTAGCGGAATTGAAAACTTAGTTAACAGTTTTAATTTAATTTTTTAATATCTCGATATATTACATTTTCAAATGTGTGTCATGAAGTTTCGGTCTCCTCCCACTCCTTGTTATACTTTAATTACATTTTTATTGTAAGTAGGTATAGATGATTTCTTTCAATTTTTATAGAGCCTTTTTCACTACAGTATGTTCCTGAAAGGCCATATACTACCTCGTTTAATTTTATACATATACTGTATAATTGTGTAAAAGTTTTGTGATTTTATTTATTTCAGTATCCTAAGAACGGTCAACTGTTAAACACAAATTGATTTGAAGAAGGCTGTGCTGCGTAATTGTAAATATAAAAAGGAAGAAATATGTATGTAATAGAAGAATTACTTCAATGTCATGACTATTAGTTGAAAGGTGTTGATTATTTTATCCGAAAAGTAGTATTATTAAATATTTACTGTATAGCAACAACACATTCCACTTAATTATTAGACCTTTATTGTTATGCCCAGTTAGACGAATATCCTATATCTTAATCCGTTTGGCATATCTCCAAAGAAGGTACAGGGCCAGTAGAACGGTAGTTGCATGGACAATCGTTTCACTGAAACAACAATTTTAAGTCAGGTCTATTTCTCATGTGCGCCGTGCTATCGACGTATGTGTAGTGAAATTCATCTAGCTAATTGTTATCATCAAACTCACGCACTCATGAACTTGTTTTTCCCCTTAAACATAAGTGAATAACAAATATTATGTCACTTATCACGAGGTGCGGTGTGACGCTCGCCTGGTTAACGCATTTTTCGTCTTAGGTGTTTGATTTGTATTGCCGTGCAGCAATGCAAAACTTGCAGTGTATAGTCCATAGCCTTGCAAAAACTCACCACATACTAGGTACTTTATGTGGTGAGTTTTTGCAAGGCTATGGACTATTGTGATTTTTTATAGAATCCGCTTTAACCATACAAGAACTTTTCTTATTTAGACACTGTAAAATACATTTGAAAACATACGTTACAGTATTATTCAAAAACATTATTTTACGTTGTTAGAAAAAGAATATTCTTTTATAGACATTACATAATGACTTGATTTCAAGGCTGTTAGTGGATTAAGCATAAATTAGTTGATACCTTCAAACTTGTCTACTAGTGACATAGGTAGTTAATTAAAGCTATCACCGATCTAATGTCAGCAATAATGCTAGCTAAAATTATAATATACATTAATGTAATTTTCCCTAACAATAATTCATTATTACTTTAATTCTATATATAATACTGTAACTATACATGGCAATTAAAATTATTTAAATGTTAACAGTTGTGTATAGTTCTACTGTGGTTTCGTTAATTGTAATTATTTATTATGTGCAGTGTACAATTATAAATTATACTCTTAATAAATCTGTTGTGAGAATTACTATTACAGTGTTTTCATTATGGACAGCAATAAAAAGTTGAAAAGTCATATAAAATTTTTTAATGGTGTAGTTTTGGACGAAGTTTGTAGTTAAAGTTCCCACCAATTTTTCTAGAGGAATTCATGCTGCTATTACTTCGTTTAAGCCGTCATAGCTGAATAAATTATACATTCGATTTTCATTAATACTGTTTTATTTTTATTGTTAAATAATGAAGATATGTAAACTATTTGCAATATAAATAAAATATAAATAATTAGTCATGTACGTTGTTATTCCAAACCATGTCCTTCAATTCTGTGTTTCGGGCATAAAGATTTGATACCTATTCTATGGGCAATACTAATATTTTGGTTTTTGATCTGGCCTTACTTGCTAGAAATATACTATTTCCTGAATAAGTCATGAATAATTCTGATTTTATGTGCTTTATTCTATTGGATGTCTCTTGTTTCTATATCAGAAGATTAAGATGACCAACGATAGTGTACGTTATAATTAGGTACAGGAATCACTAGGTGAATGTTCTATCTAGTCTATTGTACTCGGTACATGTCCGTTAATATTGTTGCCCAGTTTTTCGTGAAACGGGTAAGTTACCTATATGATTGTGTTTTATTAAGAGTGTATCGTTGAGTATCCATTGTTAAATTTGCCTATATTTATTAAACAGGCTATTGTTTCATAAATGATAAATACACTATTCTTCATTTCTATATCTAGGTATTTCCACGCTGATATTCAGTGACATGTTTGTAATAATAATAATTAGAAATAATTTGAGTAAAATACAGTTTCCGTATAACAATTAATGAATAGGTGGGCTAACCTGTACAATCTATATACAATCGATTTGAGAGTTGAAATATTTATGTTAGATTTTTCTTGTTTCTGATAGTCTACTCCTAAATTTTCAACTTAAGCTGAAAGTAATAGTTTTCGAGGCAGACAGGCAGAAAGGCAACATATTTTTTTACACGTTTTACAAAAATATGGGAAAAAATATTTTTATCTTGTCGAATAGTGTGCTGCGATGCAAACCCTATCTCTGAAACTAAGATAGCGACTAGTTAGGACGCAGAAGAAATGTAAGAACGAAAACGTCACGGATATGGAAGTGTTTGTGCACAGCTAAATGTCTGTCCACTGTGACCAGCGATCCACTGTATTCCACGCTCACCTACACTCGCGCTACACTTGCTACACCGCTCCTTTCGGAATGTCAGCAGTGAGCGAAGCGAGCCAGTTGCGCCAGATGACCAGAGCTGCGCTCCAGTCCGAGTGTAGTGATGGGGCGACGAAGTGAGTTTATTTTATCCCACCACCCCCTCCCTCATAATCTATTACATATATTGCAAAATGCGTTCCAACCTTGAAATTTTCAAAAATTCATATGACAAACTATGAGGAATCATAACCCATCCACTAGGGGGGGTACCTACCTGATTAAAATATATTCTGATTGATTTGATTTGTGTCTATTTCATACGTATTTATACATAATTAATAAGGTACAAGTATAAAGAAAAACATGACTAAATATTTATTTTATTGCGAAAATGTTATAAATTATTCAAATAATGACTCCGTGTCGGGATATTCAGAATCATCGGCCTCGCTACTTCTATAATAAATCTATCGATAATGTCGTCAACTATAATGACTCAAATGTACAGAAGGACGAATGAGGAAAACAAAATAAAAGCCGATGTAATTCCCGATAAATTTAATGTTCCGATGAAAATATTTAAAAAAAAAATGTATTTTACTAATACACAAACTTTTTTATTAAAGGACAAATTCCGTTCTTGCTATAAAATGAATTGTGTCAGCTTCCAAAGTTTTGTTATATAAAACTCAGGTATTGTTACTCATATATTGTTTAATTCAAAGACAGTGATGGAAACAATAGCATGCCTAAGTGAATTTTAAAAATATGTTGTGGTAACTCTTCAGAAGACAATCGATAAAAAGTTTTATTAATTTAATAATTCGGTGTCGTAGGTACTACCAGTGGGGATCAATGGCATAGTAGCCATTTTTAGTTCGAAAAACGGATTTAGATGGCGTCATTGGTATCGAATGGAATTCAACATTGTTTTGTAATCGTTTAAAACCCAAAACTATGTTTTTAAAAAGGTTTATTCTATTTTTAAAAAGTCATATATAGATGTTAAAATGAAATAATGCGTTTTGAAAAGTAATTTTCATATATTTACTCATTTTGTTGTTGCCCTGTATTTGTTTACAATTTAATCATTGCTAATTGGGGCTTATTGTTTTCAAAATACTTTCATAGATGGCGCTGTTTTCATTTGTATCACCGTATTTTAAATGTTTATTTTATATTTTCAAATAATAAGTACTTACTTACTTATTATGATAAATTAAACATAAAAAAAGTTTAAGTAAATATAAAACAGCTAAACAAGAAAACCATATTATTCCAGTAATACTTATTTAGAAAGTGTTGCCATATTAAAAATAAATGCATAGATTTATCGATTTTTTCGAATAATCGATAACAGGATATTACAACGCATTATTCGATGGTGCTTTAATTAGTCTTTGCAAACAGTAAAATTTCATCATTTTGTATTATACTCTTATTTGGAACGAATTGCAATGCATAATTTTTACTCGACGACGGTAAAATAGAGAGATTTTGACAGGTATGCAAGTACTATATATTTATCTGTTCGCTCATAACTTCGAAACTTGAAGAGGGAAATATTAATTAGATTGATCTGATATAAGTGTACTCTATTATATCAACCTCCACGCGGTCACCCTGGTAATTATAGCAATTAATGACATTAGTGACATAGTTCTTCTATTAAAAAAAATAAATACCTACTTATTGTAATTTAATGAATGAGAATTGAATGTGGTATAGAGTATATAAGGTCAGCTATACCTTTATGAAACCTCAATAAACAAGTGTTATATGGTATCTAAATTACTGACATTGATAGCTAAATATGAGGATCCTCGAATTTTTTAAAATACTCATAAGAAACTTTACAAATACTCGAATTTTGCTTTTGTAGAAGGATATTTTCAACCTTACTAAATTGTACAAGGTTTTGAAACGATAATCATTCATAATACTATATATTACTGATCCTAGTACCTACTATTCATGATAATTAGTTTTTTAATATCTCCATTCGAGGGTAGGTTATTCATAATTTATATTATTAGATTTCATCACAAATAAAAATATCGATTTTAAATCGTAGGTTGGTCCATATTTTTTTATTATATCGAAATGACGAGTACTGGCAACATACATGAAATGTTAAAAATATAAAATATAGGAATAAAAGAATAGGATAAACGACTTTAAGTCAAATGCTTAAAACATATTTTCACTAGCATTGGATTTTTTCTCTTTTTTCATCATTTAAGTTAAGTAGGTACTTCAACTTTTGAATTGTTCCTGTTCAGAGTTCATTGAACTTCTTATTTTTTTGTCAAACTCAATAATTTAAATGTGTCTAAGGACTACTAAAAATATTTAGTAAACTATCGTGTCTTTGAGGATTATCTCATACCAGGTATAACTATATGTAAGTTGTTAAAAACTTGCATATGTATGCGTGTGTATCTTTCATATTAAAATATAATAAACATAGGTACTTGGTGACCGCTTTAATGTGGTATTATTATGTTTTTATTATTGTTATGAATGTAACTTCAAAAAACTAACATTGATTTTATAATTTTTGATTGATTGAGAAAATACTGAAAATTATTAATCAAAATAAAGTACTAAACAGTAGTATTATTTTTATATTTTATTAGAACTGAATGAATATGATGTATGAATAATATGTTTATTGTGCTAATAAGGTTACAGTTTAGTTACTTTCATGTAAATTCATTCATGTAAGTTCATGAAAATGTAACATGGTATATGATATTGTTTTCAGATTTTCCTGACATCAACAACTTAATACTGAACAAAGTTTAAACAAATAAGAGATGATATTCTAAATCTCCTAGTCATTCAGATGAAGATAAATAACATTTTTACTGTAAAGAACAGGAGTTCAAAAGAATAAGAAATATATATATATATATATATGAACATTTTACTGTATAAAATAATAATGCAAGTAAAAATAAGAGAAAAAAGCAGAAGAAAAATCTGTAAATTATTAATCACAATGCAATTAATAATATAATTAAATAAGTAAGAAAGCAACGGACTAGTGATGAGAAGAAATTCCAAGTAATTATATTATGTGTAACCGACTACAAATAAGTTTATGATTTAAGCTCATGATTTTATATTGCTTCATCAACAAATCCAGGAATATTTTGTGTACCAGGAATTAATTATGAAATGATTTTGATGAAATATTATGTCTTGATATTGATTTATTTGGAATATAATATAAAAAAAACAGAAGTGTTTGAAGTTTTAGTGGTATAACAGACAAGCAGTGAAAGAAATATTATTGTAAATTATTAACAATTGTTTATTCTGTGATTAATAAATTATTAAAAAGTGTTTTATTACCTGAAATAAAAATGTTATGATCTTCAAGTGTTGTGTTCATGCAATGTTAGTTTCATCTCATTCGATTTAAAATGTCAGGAATTATTTACTACATAATGATTTTGTATTAGATGGTAATCATATATATTTTTTAATGCAATGTGTATAATAATTCCCATTTACATCAAAAAACTTTGTGTAAATCTATATTTCCCTGTCTATAGACTTTGGTCGTGGAATACTAATAAGAAACAAAATCTAGAGACTGTAGTATATCAGAGTATCCCAGAACCTTGTATTTAAGTCATATAAGGACTTAGTACCTACCTAATACTTGCTACTTTTTTAATCAATTAATTAATTTGATCTCAATCATCATGATGAACAATGATGATAATGTTGAGAATACTGCCAATGATGAATTTTATGGTGGTCATAAATAAATACCATCGTCACTATCGTCAACAGTCATTATTGATCTCATCATCATCACCGTTACCCTCCTTCATCCATATTGTCAAAAGTTACTACCTACTATTATTAACTGAAATGGTAAATAAGCTGACGATCCATCCAACCACGACGCTATCCGACGTACATACATACACATATGTATATTATTAAACAGCATTACGTCATCATGTCGTGCCCGCTATATCCCGCATACGTTATCATTCCGGAGAACATAGATGTTATGACCAAATATCCTGTAATTTCGCAGCTTAATTTCAACTGAATAACAACTTACATGAATACCAAAAAACTAGCAGTAAATGCGTAGTTTGTAGATATCGAAGGTTCTACAAATAGGTATAACATCAAAATAACCTACATGTCATTAGCACCGATGTAGTATCCCTGAAAGAACCTACATATAACAGATTGATGGTTTGCAGATATTATTTTCAGTTTTACAAATTGCCAGTTTACCATAATTAACTACATATTGAGAAATAATTATACACTGAAAATTATATAAGGTACCCATATGCACATCAATTGATTATAGCTAAAATCTATCACTATCACATAACAATTTAAATAAAAAAAACCGTATTAAAATCGGGCTATTCGTTAAGGAGCTATTGCTCCTTAACCGATAGCCCGATTTTAGTGCAGACGCGTTACGACATATCTTCGTCGGGAGAAAAAAAGCCACACATGCCTAATGTAAAAAAGTAACTGTAACATAGTACATAGATACATAGGTACATTAGCCGTGTCTGTAGACTGTCAGCGAACAATATTATACCTACATAGAATTTTCGATTGTACCCAATCAGGAGTTCGATACAGTTATATATCTATTATGTACGTATCTTTGCAAAACAGATGTCATGTAGACCGAATTCTCTGCCATCTATTTTCATGCTTTATTACTAATCACCCACTAGTAATCCGAACTGCTTCAGATATAGCGACATCTAGCGCCTACGGCGGCGAAATAAAATAGCCCGAAGAATAGCCCGAGTTAGGAAGGAACCATTTTCTTGTATGGGATGGGGTATCTGTATGTAATATTATATTATCTGTGGTACTACAAAACTATAGCTGGTATCATTATTTTAAAATTTGCCATTTAGACCTGTCTATTTATTCTACGGGATTAAAAAACAGACTGTGATTCTGATCAGAAGTACCTACGTGTATTATGTACCTATACGTAAACAAAAATCATGTATTTAATTATATATATCAGTTGTCTAGTACCAATAACTCGCTTAGTTTGGGACTAGATGGCTCTGTATATTTTGTCCAGTATTATTTTTATTGTACATTCTGTACTGTTATTGTACATATTGTACAGCAAGTACGAAAAAGGAGATTATGCATGGGTCATGTCACGTTTTTGAACACGAAGTCAAAAACGGTTGCTAGAATTTTGTCAACGGCATATATATAGGCGTTTTTAGAGTATGGTAACAAAGGCTAGCTGGGGGATGGACGGTACTACGTAGCTTAGTAACTAGTACGTGTGATATTATACTTTATTAGTCATTACTTTTATAGTTCTACGTAGTACCTGATAAATACTGTGTCAACATAATACTGGAGTAACTCGTAGTAGGTCAGAATAACGCCACTATACTGATAGCCATCGAATACTGATTATTTGCACACAGACTTATTGAACAGGAATACAATACTACGAAGTAAACATACACTTGTATATAAAAAAAAACCAAACATTTACTAGGTTTCATGGTTCTAATGGCGCGACGTCAGTTGTATCATAAGTAACTACTGAGATAGTTAATTTTGGTTAATAGTAACTATAGTAACGAGTACGCATTAAGAACTAATATGTACGGGTTTTACAGATCTAGCGGTGTGACAACTGAAGTGACATGACATGTCAAATCAGTGTGACCAGATATGGCAGATTATTGCTTTTATAGCAAAATTAAGTTTTTATTTTAATCTCGTCGTATACCTTCGATATTGTCACATTGTATAAATCCATACCTTGTCTAAAAATTGTTCTTATTCATATCCTTGAATAATATTAAATTTTATTGGTCTATAGAATAATAAAATAAGTATATACTACTTGCTTACTACCACTATAAAAATCCTTTGAGCCGAAAATAATTTGCAAACGTGAAACCGAAGTTTCTATATGTGCTATATATACTTAAACTGTAACTTTTTTAAAGATAATATACGGAAATTCATATTATATTTATTTTAGTCTAGTACTGTACAATTCAGGTTTTTTTATAACCTAACGTCTGGCATATTTACTTACGAGAGTAGTAAATTTATGTCTTATGTATATGATACTAAACTAAAACATTAGTAATAAGTTATAGTAAAAATAAATTTAACTTTTTATTATGAAATAGAAATAGAAATAATCTTTATTCAAATAAACTCATTACAAGCACTTTTGAATAGTCATATTTTGATTCTACCACTCATTCGGAATGCAGATTCATCACAAGAAGAATAAGCAAGAAACTTGTGTGTTGCTCTTTTTTAATAGATGTTTTTTTTATATAAATAATTACAGTATAACAAGTAAGAGGCATGCGATAATCAACATAGAAGTCGCTACGCACTCATTATTAATGTAATCAGATAATATTGTCAGTGCTATGGATTTAAAGTTTTTCTATAAAAACATTATTATCGTTAACGAATTCTTCAATTTTATAGTAAGCTTTTTTTGCAAAGGAACTGTTTTATTTGACATTTAAATCTTTCTTAACATAATAATATGTTGGGACTGGGCCGGGGGAATTTCAAATTATTGTATTAATATAACCCTTTTACAAATAGACTTAGCTCAAATCTAGACATCGAGTTGGCAACAGTGAATGCAAAACAGAAAATAAAAAAAATGTCTCTACTATTAAAACCGCTACGAGTTTGTAATGTTTTCAGATTTCCAAGATCTGGAGCAACATCACTAACTATAAATTATTTTGATATATTTAATAAATATATTTCAACAACTTTAGATTTACCTAAAACAATGGCTGCAGAAAAGACACTGCCTAAGATATTTCAATTTGTTGACAAGAATGTAGCCTCCTACAAGAATCTCTTGAAAGAAGCAGTTGCAATTCCATCGGTGTCATGTGATGTAAAATACCGGGAAGACTGTGTACGTATGGTTCACTGGATGCAAGACAAACTGAAGGAAGTTGGTGCTACTACAGAACTGAGGGATATCGGTTTCCAGACTATAGATGGAAAGGAAGTAAAACTACCGCCTGTATTAATTGGGTCTTTAGGAAATGTAAGTAATATTATATTTCAATTATTATACTTTATTTCATTATAACCACACTCACTTTCACTCTTGAATTCGATCGCTATACACATATGTGTACACTTTTTTCTGTCTTTATTCTTAAAAAATTTAGGTCTTCGGAACCACATCAGAGCAACACAGGAAAATCTGTGTGAATCTACTTAGCTACAAATTAATAAAATTATACAATTTAAGAAATCTTACTTAGTATTAATTACATATAAAATGATCAGTTTAAGAAATCTCTTCTGATTTATAAAATTAGGTTTATAAAAGTAGGTAATAAAATAATTAACATAATTTTTCAAAAGTTACTTAGTAGGTGTATAAAATTGCCTGCAAAATGCTTCGTCAACTAATAAATAGTATAGGAGTAGACTGAAACCTATTATCTCATGTTGTTTTGACAATGCCCTAGATATTTTTTTCTAAATCGTTCGGAAGTCTGCCAGTAACACCTACATTGGGATCTTAGAAAAGACACTATTTTCTGTTCTTATAGAAAATTTTGTACAAAGAATATACAGAAAAATTTTACATGGAGCAAATTTACTTAACCAAAACTAGACCTGAAAACACCAATATACCAAAATAATTTTGTTATTTTATATATCTACAGGAGTTTGGTACATTTTACTTACTAGATGTCCTAGACCAATAAAATGAGTCATTATAGCTGTAAAAAGTACCAAACTTTTGTAAATACCAAAAATAACAAAATTGAAATAAATTTTTAACAAGTTTATAGCTAAAATATTGTACTAAGCTAACTTGAAAGAAATTTATCAGCTATAATCTTAATCATAACTCTTCAATTCCTAGGGAGTGTTAGTATCAGAAATATGAAGTTATAGATATCATTAAACCTTGATATAAACTACTTCAGATACAAAGTTTTTGAAAAACACTTCTGTTATGATGTAGGTCTGTTAAACAGTACTGAATCATTCTCAATAGTGCCATCGTTACAAAAGATTCAAATTATTTCTAATTGGAGACGTCCAAATTGACATTTTATGATATATGATGATCATAGGAAATTATACATGCATATGCTAGAAAAAACTTGATAAAACAAAAAGAAAGCTTTAAGCTTTCTACCAAATTAAATAGCTTGGAAGGAAAAGACAAAAATCATTAATATATAAGTTATATAGTTATAGTAATGATAAAGCAAAATTTTCAGTCTGCCTGTTTATGGCCTTACTTCTAAATTACACAACAAATATTGGTACAGTATCATTCCAGAAGATGTACATTATTATAAGCATATATTTCACACATACACAACTTCATTAAATAAAATATATATAAATTATATAAAAATATCATAGTTGTACTAATGCTTTTCGTACAGTGCATGGTACGAAAAGCATTAGTACAACTATGATATTTTTATATAATTTATATATATTTTATTCTGTCTGCTAGATATCTGTCCACAAAAATATATATATATTTTCAACCAAAATGACCAGATACTTTTAAAATTAAAGGCAAACCCTTTTTTTTACTAGCCAATCTATATAATTGTGTAGAGACTAGATATTATATTTAGATTCATCTGCCAAGCAGCTTGATTTGTAAACTATTTCATTGCAGGGTGCCATTAGGCAGTGAAATTATAGGTTATGGAATAGCAACACATGTATAGTATAATAGATGTCACATTATAATGTGATGTCACCTATAATGGGCAACTGTTACAGCTTACAATCAGGTGGGTTACCTGGTCAGTCAAGTTAGCTAGTCAAGTTATGCTTTTCCAATTACATAAAACATGTATTACATTGAGCAGGGTCGCATTGTGAATTGCCCTGGGCTAAAAGTACTTACGGCCTACTTAATTATATTATTCAACTAAAAAAAACACATTGACCAAAAACAAGCATCAAGGAATTCCCCATTCCCTTGTATAGATGTGCATATGCATGGGCTGATTAATCTCACTGTGGCCAACCTTATGAAAAAGCCCTTAGATATAGATCGGCCTCTGACATAACAAAAGTAATTTACTGCAATGTTATAATTTGCGGTATTGAAAATAATACTTCTAGCATTAATTCCATCTTATGTATTATATTTTATTTTGTCAATTAAGTTATTTAATTAAATAAATTATGTTCTAAAAGAATGTGAGATAATAAGTTGCAATATAAAATTTATTTATTTCAAGGATAAGAAAAAGAACACAATATGTGTGTATGGCCATTTAGATGTCCAACCAGCCTTAAAATCTGATGGGTGGCTCTCTGAACCATTTGAGTTAGTTGAAAGAGACAATAAGCTGTATGGGCGAGGGTCTACTGATGACAAAGGGCCCGTTATTGGGTGGCTTCATGCTATAAATGCCTATAAAGGAGTGGGTGAGGAGGTGAGTTCTTAATTCAGATTTTTGTTCATAACTTCTTGGCTGACTTTTAATATGATTGAAGCTACTCCTACTTAGTCCAGAAAGAGGTGAGTAGGTCATGACACCATATAAATTTGTATCAATTTTTACTTCCAACTGACTTTCTGGTGATGGAAACATCCATAACTATCTAAATTCAAGAGAAGGCTGTGGTTTTGCCACCTTTTGATTCTAACCTATCCAATGAAATGTTGGTATTATGTTCACCAGAATGTACACAGTTGATAATGCCTCAAAGTGCTCTATTTCAGATTACAGTCATGAAGATATATTATGTAATTATATATTATTAAAAACAATGGAATATAATTCTTAATTAATAGGCAGGTGCTAAAAGGCATAATTACTTTAAGTGTACTCTGGGTCCTCGGCATTAATAAATTCTAGGCCCATAGTGCCGTGCATAAATATTATTTAATGTCAATTATAATAGGTTAACAATAGTGCAGGCATAATTGAAAAGCACTCTTCATAATTACATTAATGTAATTAGAAATCAAATATATAACATCAAGTGTATTTCATGAATAATCAGTAGGAAATTAAATAAGATGCTTATTGAACTATTTAGATGTGCAATAAATGGTCACAGCTAATTGTATCTATTAACATAAAAGCTAGGAAATAATAAATATAAATATATTTTAATGGAAATAGGTCGCTTGCTAACATAACTGCAAAAGTTATAAGTCTAACGATACTTTATTGTTAGTTATTAATACACAAATTGTGGGCGGTATTATCATACATTTTCCTGATAACTTGGGAGTGATGCAATGGCATCAAATTGCAACTACATACCTATACATTTGCAATTTAATGCAATGTTACTACTTTAGTATAAAATATTTACTATTATTATTTTAATTTTACAGTTGCCTGTAAACTTAAAGTTTGTTTTCGAATGTATGGAAGAGTCGGGTTCTGAAGGACTCGACGCTCTCCTAATGGAGCAGTTGAAACCGGCTGGGTTCTTTAAAGACGTTGATTATGTATGCATATCTGACAACTATTGGTTGGGAACAACTAAGCCTTGTATTACTTACGGACTTCGCGGGATAAGCTATTATTTCTTAGAAGTGGAATGTGCCAAAATGGATTTGCACAGTGGTGTATATGGCGGCACAGTACATGAAGGTATTATATTATACTCGTATATCAAATAACATTACTTTAATTAGCTTATCAAATATGCTGATCAAATAATTTAACAGTTTTATATTCTCTGTAGAACATAGTTTATGAAATAATATACTGCGATACAAAAAAAATATTCGGTCCCGCCTTCTCTAACACTTTACGCTGGCGGGATACCAGTGGATGATTATAGCATGAAGATGAAGTCAGGTCAATAGTGGCTATTTACCAGGAAACCATAATGCGCGTGTAGGTCGACTTGGAAGGGTACATGACTAGCAATGAACAGGGTTACTACTCCCTATTAATAACAATCCCCTTGCCTTGTCGAATCGCACTTTACCTTTATCTCAAACTTATCCCAATGGTATGGGGTCGTAATATATTTAAATGTATATTACAAAGGATATCACTTATACTTTCGAGTATTTGCAAACTTGCATAAATGCTTTTTTTTTTTGGTGCTTATACAGTATTAAAGTTAGAATTTATAGGAATATATAAATCTATTATGGGATGTTATGATTTGATTAATTTTATTATAAGAAACATGGATATTATTAATTCAAGAATAAATAATAAATGTAAATATCGTCGGTAACTATGTGAATGCTATCTAATTTAACAACGAAAATATCTAATATAACTTGAAGTCGTTGCTTCATTGTTACATGTATTAGTCTTTTTTTTCTAAATATGCTCTATTATTGTAATTTTGTTATCTGGTGTATGTTTTCTTATTTGTTCGGCTTACTATGTTTACTTCAAGTGGAAGTTAATTGTGGTGGCTTTACTGATAATAATATTATATGAAATTAAATAATGTTAGTATTGTCATAATAATGTTCACATTATTTATTCAAAATCATGTAGATTATGGGTGCGAAGAATCCCTTGCACACTTAACATCTACAGTTTCTATACGTAAGTATATACCGCGCGATTCATTGATATGACCATGAATGGACTTTGAAAAGAATTATAAAGAACATCACTTTTATTGACATCCTCGGTGGTTTAGCGCTTTAGTACACCGCTTTACTTCCTATGATGTTGGTTTCGATTTCTCGTAGGATACAAACATTTGTGTTCTAGTGTATGATTCTTTGTATTGGTGTGGGTGTTTTATATGTAGATTATTTATTTACAAAACTAAATGTTATTAAGTAGTAGTGTATCTATAACTAATTGTGTAAATTGTCCACGGTTATCTATATTAGGTATTGTTCCATAAATATATAGAGCTGCCAGTCATTTTGATCAATAGATGTTTCTGACAATTACTTGAATACTACAGTGTTTATTGCCTGTTACAGCGATGACAGACTTGATTTATTTAATGGGTCAATTGGTGGACAAGGACGGGAAGATTTTAATTACGGACATTTATAAATCGGTCGCACCGTTAACCGAAAATGAGAAATCACTTTACACGGATATTGATTTTGATCCTGAGGCATACAGGTCAGGTCATATAAACCTAATAAGAAAACATTGTATCGAAAATATCTTTATACTATTTATAATTTATTTAATTATATATGTCTTGCAGACAATCAATTGAAGCCCCTAAGTTGGCACATAATGGCGTAAAGGAACAATTGCTGATGCATAGATGGAGATATCCTAGCCTATCCTTGCACGGTATTGAAGGTAAACAAAAGATCACATAAAAATTCCTGCTGAAATAAAAAGCATGCTATTATACTAAATGATTCGTACGTTGAATTACATTTAGATAACTCCTATAAGCATTCAAACTGGAATTATTATATAAACAACAAACTATGTTACTTGTCTAGAATCCTTCAAGTACAATAGAATGAAATACATTTACTATACACTCAACAAATGGAATACTTTTTATTTCTTTATATGTACTTTATTTCTGAAATATAAAACATTCAAAATAAAAATTTCAGGTGCTGCTTTTCAACCTGGAGCGAAAACTGTAATTCCAGGCAAAGTGATTGGTAAATTTTCTATTCGTCTCGTACCAAATCAAGAACCAGAGGAGGTAGAAAAATTAGTGTTTGATTATGTTAATAAGAAGGTTAGTATTTTCTCAACAAACTTTTTTATTATACATTTCTATCTTTTTGTTACTGTATTTCTATTTACCTTAGTAAATCTACATATACTGAGGTAGACTATGTAAAAAGTCCACTTACATGGTCTTCCTGTTTCAGCCGCCAAGCGTCTTGATTTGTGTATTTCGGTTGAAGAAGGTGATAAGGCAGTGAAATTCTACAAGACATTAGTCATATTAACCTCATTGCTAACAATTTACCTTGTTAGGTCGACTTTCACGCGGTCCCCACAGGAAACCTATATAAAATTATGATATTTTCTAATATAACTATTTTCTCTCTCTTCTAGTGGGCTGAACATGGATCGCCTAACAAAATGAGAATCACAGCACAGAGCGGCCGACCGTGGACTGAGAATCCTGATCATCCTCATTATCAAGCAGCTGCCCGCGCTACTAAACTCATTTATCAGGTACTAAAGGGTCATTTTCATGTGTATTTTTAAACATTTCTTTGTATGTCATGCCAAATAACAAGTCTGTGAATTGGCCGTCTAATCTATGCGGCAGGTATTAAGGAAAAGTAATAGTAATTTAATTATTATGAGAATACAATATGAAGAAACTGAAAAAACATTATTGCCATATAACTTTATGACAATAAAGTTATATGGCAATAAATTTTTTTTATTATTAATTAAGGTCAGTAATTAAGGTCAATCCAATTTTCTATGGTTTCTTTTTAACATACTATTTGTTTCTCTGTTATTAATTAGGTGTATATATCTTATATATAAAATTCTCGTGTCACAGTTTTCGTTCCCATACTTCTCCGAAACGGCTTGACCGTTTCTCATGAAATTTTGTGAGCGTATTGAGTAGGTCTGAGAATCGGCCAACATCTATTTTTCATCCCCCTAAATTTTAGGGGTAGTCCAACCCTAATTTTTTTTTATTTATTTTAAGGCAAAACAACGTTTGCCGGGACAGCTAGTTTACTTATATATTTAAGTTTCTATTTAATTATAAATAATAATTATAAAAGCATAAACAACTGTATGTTTATGTTTTTATAACTATTATTTATACAAGTTCTTAGATTACGACTAGGTTGTGTTTGACTGTGTGAATTGCTATTTATATGTATATCTTTTTTATTTTTGCAGACTGATCCCGACATGTCACGTGAAGGCGGTTCGATTCCCGTGACGATCACACTGCAGGAGGCGAGCGGACGGAACGTACTGTTGCTGCCTATGGGTGCCGGCGATGATATGGCGCACTCGCAGAATGAAAAACTCAACGTGCGCAATTACATTGAAGGGGTAAGTCGGGGTATTCTATGCCCTCACACACACACGAAATTTGATTTCTCTTCTTGATTTGATTATATCATGTAAATTGAATGACGATAGTAGACTGCGGATAATTATACATGAATTATGAACAACGGTGGGCTAATTATGTAACTTCGTTCGCAACGATTTTCGTATGTAACGTAGTGAAAATGACGTCATCTGTCAATAATGCGATCATATAGACGCCATTTGACGCTGTCAACTAGCATTGCAACGTAAACGCAACTTTACATATCGATAAAAATTATTTCTATCGAATGTCGATTTAGTAACCTCGTTGCAACGTCACGTAATCGCTATTTTGCCGAAATGACAGCGTGGAATTGAAACGGTTTTTACATTATGAGAAACAATTTAGAAGGTGTTTCTTTTGGTTACAATCTTTAAAATATCAGCATTAGCAGCATTATTTATCTTGTTTTGGTAATTTTCAGTATTACATATATTTTTATTATATTAAATATTACGTAGAAAGTCGTGAAAAGGTTTTAAATTTATTAAAATGGGAAAATTGTCACGACTCACAACACGACATCAGTGTTGCCAATTCGATATTTTATTTTCGTCCCAAATCACATAGAATGTTGTATTAACTAGAGTAAATGTTTAATATAAAATTAGGGTTGATTATGATATTAATATAATTAAAAAACTATTTCAATGAATACGGTGCTCTGTGAACGGAATACAACGTTTATGATGCTCTGAGATTTGTTTAAAGTAAATAAATTTATTTGTTTAAAGTTTTTACAATTATGTACAAATTTAAAAAGATGTGCCCATATCATTTTAAATTTATATGGATACCTACGTACTTACCTAGGTATCTATAGCAGAAAAGAAAATTTAATTTGTAGGTTAGATTAATATTATTAATGATTATAAATAGTTTGTATAAAATATGCTTTTATATTCAAAATTATTATCCTTATTTTTTAATTAGAATAGAATAGACTTTCTTTATTTTATTTTATTAAATGTCTATTAATAAAATTAAAATAAAAGAACAAGTGAACGCTGCAGTATATTTTGTAATTTTTGAACGCAATAAAAATTGTTTCAAATCAACCAACTAGTGTAACAACCCAATAAATTAAAATGTATCCCTCTACAGGTATAAGCTATCTAATGTACTGACTTTTTAAATTGGTCGGATTAACAATATTCCGCTGCAACTTCATAGTAGTGTTTTATCGATAGAAATGATTTATGTTGCGGTCATTAGACCTTACTTGATCGCATTTTTTAAATTGAAATGATTTCATATCGCATCACAACTTCAACAGAAACAATTTCATATCGTGTTACATAATTAGCCCACGGTGGGCTAATTATGTAACTTCGTTCGCAACGATTTTCGTATGTAACGTAGTGAAAATGACGTCATCTGTCAATAATGCGATCATATAGACGCCATTTGACGCTGTCAACTAGCATTGCAACGTAAACGCAACTTTACATATCGATAAAAATTATTTCTATCGAATGTCGATTTAGTAACCTCGTTGCAACGTCACGTAATCGCTATTTTGCCGAAATGACAGCGTGGAATTGAAACGGTTTTTACATTATGAGAAACAATTTAGAAGGTGTTTCTTTTGGTTACAATCTTTAAAATATCAGCATTAGCAGCATTATTTATCTTGTTTTGGTAATTTTCAGTATTACATATATTTTTATTATATTAAATATTACGTAGAAAGTCGTGAAAAGGTTTTAAATTTATTAAAATGGGAAAATTGTCACGACTCACAACACGACATCAGTGTTGCCAATTCGATATTTTATTTTCGTCCCAAATCACATAGAATGTTGTATTAACTAGAGTAAATGTTTAATATAAAATTAGGGTTGATTATGATATTAATATAATTAAAAAACTATTTCAATGAATACGGTGCTCTGTGAACGGAATACAACGTTTATGATGCTCTGTGATTTGTTTAAAGTAAATAAATTTATTTGTTTAAAGTTTTTACAATTATGTACAAATTTAAAAAGATGTGCCCATATCATTTTAAATTTATATGGATACCTACGTACTTACCTAGGTATCTATAGCAGAAAAGAAAATTTAATTTGTAGGTTAGATTAATATTATTAATGATTATAAATAGTTTGTATAAAATATGCTTTTATATTCAAAATTATTATCCTTATTTTTTCATTAGAATAGAATAGACTTTCTTTATTTTATTTTATTAAATGTCTATTAATAAAATTAAAATAAAAGAACAAGTGAACGCTGCAGTATATTTTGTAATTTTTGAACGCAATAAAAATTGTTTCAAATCAACCAACTAGTGTAACAACCCAATAAATTAAAATGTATCCCTCTAAAGGTATAAACTATCTAATGTACTGACTTTTTAAATTGGTCGGATTAACAATATTCCGCTGCAACTTCATAGTAGTGTTTTATCGATAGAAATGATTTATGTTGCGGTCATTCGCCCTTACTTGATCGCATTTTTTAAATTGAAATGATTTCATATTGCATCACAACTTCAACAGAAACAATTTCATATCGTGTTACATAATTAGCCAACGGGTATAGTATACACAATGATATGTATCAAACATAGATATATGAATATTATATTAAAATACTATCGTGATCACTTGGATAACTGGGCCTCCACTGTGCGTAATTCCAGTATCTTTTTGCACTCGCAACCATATCGTAAAATCACCTTCTAGTGATGGTAAAAATATTACAAGTGTAGGCATAGTTTCATTTTTAGTTTGCTGTCGCTGTTAACTTCACCATGTATTTTTTTAATGTTGGCCAATTTGACCTTTTGGGCGCAATCCAGTGTAGTAAAGATTAGATGTTTGAACAAAACTTGTCATATAGTATTTAGCAGTAATAATCTACTTTAAAACTATTTAATTTTTACCAAAAAAAATATTGTTATACATTTTTGTAAACTATAATGCTCTTTGTTTCAGATAAAACTTTTTGCTGCTTATTTGTACGAGGTTGGTAAACTACCTAAGTGAAGACATAATAATTATAACTATTATTGTCTACAAAGCAAGGGAAGCATTCCTACTTTTAAGTACAATTTATATTTGTATACTTTTTTATTCTTTATCGACTATGTTTAATTCGGTTTTATTTTTCATAATGTAACGACATAACACTAAAATAAATAGTACTAATATTTTGTTAAGTCAATTTGTTATAAAATTTATTATGCATAATGGTGCTACAATACAATGGTACATGCGTTGTCATAATATTATTTAAGTGCATTTTGTAATGAATTGTTAACATAATTGACGATTTTGTATTTTTGTTCTGTTTTGTAATAAATAGTGGTATTTCCAAAAACCTGATTTATTCTTTCATTAAATAAATCCCTAACACAGAATAGTAACAAGTGCTGTAAATATTTTCAAGGAAGATTGCCAAAGGTTCGTTTAAATAAAAATGTAGCTGCATTAATTTTGGAAAAGGAAAGTAGAAGTTTTTTAACTCAATTAAAATATTTATAATCGCTATAAAATTTATAATGTAGCTAATTACTAAACGAAATAAAGTAATATAGTTAATAATCATATTTGCTGTTCATAACTTTGGTATTTGTTTTATCATCTCTGTGTCGTCAATGGAAATTACATAGTGAGTCTCCAGTAAAAATACTATACATGACGCGGTAAACGCATTGTTTATATGGTTTAACTTTTCTATTCATTATATCATTTATAACTTGCCGTGATTCGAATTGTGGGCAATACCCATTCATAATTCAAACAATGATTTGTACTTCTCAATGAGAGATAAAATATGTATGTGCTCGCAAATTCAATATAAGTATGACAAATAAATAGGTAACAATTATATTTTATTCCATAAAAAAAATCTACCAACTCTCCTACTTTACTAATACCACAGATAAGATAATATACATTACTGACAAAATTTTAAAATACTTTTTTGGGAAGTTCTCATTGTGTAAAAATAGCAAAGATACGATTATAATGAACCTTAATATTTTTTAAGACATTACCGATTATTCGTTACTTAGTATTCGTTAATTAATATAGTGAGACTTAATATAACTGACACTGTACAGTATGGGGTATGTACAGTATCTGAATAAAGTATGAGAGATGTCATGCGTCAGCACGATGAATACGGTATGGGTTTCTACGGTATGGTTTATTTACTCACATAGTTTCGGAGATAACAATACTGAACTCAAAACTAAATATTTGTTATTTTGTAGTCATACTGTACTTAATGTAGGTATATGATTACTAATATTTTTGTGTTTTTTTTTTTTCAATGAGCATCATCATTAAATAAAGTAAATATTTAATATAATTATAAAGTATTTTTAAAAATGTCGTACTACCTTACATTGTTCTCCAAATTTTTTTTGAACTATTCTAATGTTGTTGTTTGCCGCAGCAGATCCTTTTTGCTTCGCCGGACGAATATAAGAGCAAGTGCAGGGGACGCTACAAACACACAGAAAGGTATGGAAACGGACGGACTCTTATGGAACGGAGAAAACAACTCATGCTTGATGGATGCACCTTAAGTGTAAGTGTTCTATTTAAGCCGTTGTTATATCGATCTTAATAGAGCAAAACTTTCGAAGTAAAAGTAGTTTTTGATTAATTCACTAGCGATGTACAACAATCATCACAAATAAAATTAATGTAAATGTCGATATTAGGTTCCCTTCTAGTTATGTGGGGTTATAATAGCATGTAGACATCGCAAAAATGCGTTTCGTCGCTGTCTACCCCTTCTACATTTACAGTCATTTGGATAACTATGAAGAGTATATCTATTCAATAACCACCCAATGTTTACTGATAGCTGAATATGATTGACAAAAAGTGCACAAGACGACCTCGTTAGTGAGGTGAATGTTATACAAAATATTCTATTCGGCACAATGTGGAACATCGCCATTCACCGTGAAAGTCTGTGATATTTCACTGATATTGTGTATTTAATTTGCCTATCCTATTGTTATTTCACGACCTCCATATTTTCATATAGGTCATATGTAGTAGTAACTGTCGGCGACCAGATTTACAATGAAATTTTATAACCAAAATTGAAACCGAATTTTTGCTAGTTACACTTTATTTTAGGTCATTATTTTGTATAATTTTTAATTCTGGGATGTTTTACAAATGTGACACTTGGTTATAAAATAAAGGAATAGCGGTTTGTACTAGTTTCAGTCAGATAGCGAAATGCTTCGGTCAGATATGGTATATACGGCATGCTTTTTACTAAATTACATTAGCTAAAATAAAATCTAAAATCGACTGGAAAGATTAAACAGTAAAACTGAAATCCAGAAATTAATTTGTATAACTACTATCAGTTATAAAGGCGCTAAAAAAGAGTGACATCTAATACAGACAAGAGATGCGTCACCTTTATTAGCGCCGGGATGCCGCCGCGCCGTAAAGAAATTTTAAGGCTTTTAAGAGCGTCGCAATTTTTTTAAATGCTCGGCCAGCCATAAGCTCTACGCGACCCCTTATATAGCCGCGACGCTTTTAAAAGAGAGGTGACGCCTTTATGAGCGATATGATGATATATTTTTACCCGTCTATGAAAAATTTAAGTGTTTCAATTTTGTATTTAAATACATTTTATAAACTATTTTACACATCTCTGCTACTCAAGCGACTTTAATAAAGATGTTCTTATAAGTATTTTTGGTGTGTACGTTACGCGAAGCTACATAATTATCTTTCCTCCTTCTACCTACTGTTGTATACATTGGTTTTGGTTGGGAAAAATCTAAAATTTACACAGTAAAAACTTGTGACCCATCACGTGGAGCTAAGTGTGTCAAATTATTATGCGAACTCTTTATAAAATAGTATCGGGTTAATTTAATTAAGTTTATGATTAGCTTCTCATGCCTTTACTGTGGCCAGTAATCCATTGTCGCTTACTTTGTTCCTACACTGAAGTCAATTCTCAAGGGTTGGTATACCAATCTGCATATATATAATATGCGACCTTTCTTACCTGAGCGCTACAATGAGGTAGATTGTTATTGCAGTCCTTTGAATAAGCAAAAACTGCCCTCAGCTAGGCATGACTGTATTTAAGAATTTAATACGTTTAATAATTTATGGGAATAGTTAATAAAAATAAAAGTATCTGTTTACAACCGGGCAAACTAAATTCTATTTGTCACTTAATTTTTATAAAAAAAATAACGACAACACCTACATAGGTACGTACCTGAATTCGTACCAACAGTTATGCGACCAAATAAATTATTTGAACGGTGAACGTTATTATAATGAATTATTTTAAGATTCTATCTCAGTTAACACGCTTTTAATTCGGCCGCGTATTGTGTGGGCGAGTAAATAAAAAGTATGTAACTATGTGTGTATATTTTTTAATTTACCTCCTTCTGCCATACCAGTTGGTGCGCTAACGCATACCAGTATACTGTACTGACATAAAAGAGGATAGCAATCGGCTCTCATTGACTCAGTCCGTCTCTGAATCTCGTTATAACGATACGCTGTGTGCCGCTTTTGTACAGCATTTAAATCTGTAAATAATTGACAATATCCTTGTATTTTTATTAATTTCATGTTGTCGACGTGATGTTGAATCATAATCGCGTTTAAGTTCGTTTTAGCATTAAAATTAAAAGACAACAGATAATATATATTTTATTTGTGTGCATAACTAAGGTCAGCAGGTGGTAAGTTGATGTTAAATTATATAAACTTTATAAATGTTTACACTTATTACATGCTTTTACATAATTGGCGATATTAAATCAGTTTATAATCATAGATAGTCAATTTAGTGTTAACTGCCTATGTACTTCTCGTACAAGCAATACCGTGAACCAATGTTGATGCTATGCGTGTTGTAATGGCAAATAACAGGTTCAATATCCAAACAAAACATTGTGTTGATAAACAAATTTACTGTTAATGTTATATCAAAACATACGATGGATATTTTTTAAAGAATGGAAGCTAATATGAAAGGTATAGACTGGATTTCTGTGACGTATATTGACATTATATTTATATGTTAATTTCAACATATTATAGCCAAACTAAAATGGTTTACTATGGAACAAAATGTTGTATGATGTGTAAAAACGCACACCATTGTCGCGTCGCGTCGCGTCGCGCTGCGTCGCGTGTGACCGGTACCAGCTATCATGCACGCTTTCTAATTTACTATGACGAATTTTCGCAACTGTATAGTGAACTCAAATATCCATACCATTGTAATTCGATGCACTACGCATTTATCGATATACCTAGTTTTCTAAAAAAACTTGACTAATAATATATGTAATTAATTACCTTTGATATAAGTATGTATACTTTAAATTTCTACAATTGATAAGATACTTAGTGCAATTTATTATGTACATTTTCATTTAAAAGCACAGTTTAATTTTAAAATCCAAAATTCTGTTTGTATATTACGAATTTAAGTTTCGATTATATAAATTAATTCTTCCTACAGCATTAGCTAACTGAAAGGTGCTTACACCTACTCACCTGATTTATCGGCCATCAGGTTACCTTTATATTTGTACGCGGTATTAACTAGGTGCAACATTGTCTACTTTATTATTTTTGTGTACCAATCGTACCTACTTAGAAATTAACTGTACTTAGTCGTTTTATACTTCCCCACGCAAGGATACTGTAAGGTAAAAAAATTGGGTCAAAGCGTCTATCTAGTTGTGACTTCAGATCAAATCATATACAACTATAGTTATAGTTTATTGTAGTTAAAATTCATTACTATACTAAGTTCTTTTCTTACAAAGTATTATGCGTATGAAGTTAATAAAAAAACACACCACAAATTATTTTTTTTCATATAACTACTAGCTGATTGTTTAAACTACAGCAATTTAATTAGTAAATTTATATGTTTGAGTTTTTTTATGGTTGATAATGGAAGGAACGTGCGTTAACGTCATGGTAAATTGGCATTTGTCAAGTTGGGCTAACTGACCTGACATCATGCTCATTTTGTCCTCCAATAGTGACCTGCCAGCGTGAACCGTTAGTAGAGGCAAAAGCACAACTCCGTATTCATCCATAAAAAAATCACTAGTCTTATTTAGTTACACAGCAAGTGAGATCATAAATCAGAGTAGTGAATGACAAAAAAGGTGTACTTATTTGATAATAATCAATATTTATTATCGTCGGTTCCATAAAAGGCTACAAATGAATAAATATTAAGCGGAGAAAAAATTCATTCTTGCATTTAAAAAGAAAATTTTATGCATAAACTGCACATTTAATTTCTATACTATTTACCTACATTGATATTCTAGCTACATCGAGCACCAAGTGAGTCAAGGTGCACCAAGTGACGCAAACATTACGTACTATATGCCTTTTAAACTGTTCTTACAACAGGTGTTATGTGCCTTACAGGAACGAAATAGAGGTTAAACTTAAAATATTGCTTTGTTTCTTAAATTACCACGAAATTTAAATGGCCTCGGTATTTCTGACGAATACCCAATTGCTACCTTGTACGAAAACAATGTTTAAATATTATTACAATCCCATATATATGTATTCTATTGTTAATTTTGTGCATTATAATGAATATTTCTGCAGATGGGATATCTATTATTAAATACAGTTATTACTGTGACATTGTACACACCACATTTTTCCTTATTATTTCCTTCATCTATTTCACTATCATTAATTAAAAAATACACCTGGCGGCTTCGCCAAAATGGGTCAACTGACCTAACTTCATACTGAAGGGGGGAAGGGGATTGTTAGTAATGTGAACTCATGACCCCATCACTAGCAATGTACCATGTCAGGTTGAACTCCACGCGGTTCCCCCTGGAAACCGTCGTGATAAATTCCTGGTGAATTTGTCACGATGGGCTAACTGACCTGACCTCATGTTCATCTTATCATCCTCCGCTGGTGCCCCGCCAGTGTAAACCGTTAGCGCAGGCGGGAGAAACATTCCATTATCATCAAAAAAAAAAAAAACTTCATACAGATCGTATCTTCCTGCACTGGTATGTCATTAGTGCGGATGATATCCATTATCATCCATACAAAAACAGAGTCTGACTACGCCATCTAGGAAAAAAGGCGTGAAGTAGGTCAAAAGATCAAAAATAAATTAAGAATAAATTACATTTTTATACTAATTATTAATAACTAAGCTTAGAAAGCAATGCAACTTAGCTAATTTTCTTATGATAAAGGAATTTTGTAGAAATCGTTAACGTTTTTGTTATCTATAGAGTTGATACACCACGTACATGACATGCACTGTATCGGCTTGCATCCGGTTTCGAAGGAGAGATGCAGCCAATTTATTGAATGCCACTGGAAATCCCGTGTTTCAATGCCGTACAATAATATCCGCAGTCAACATAATGTAGCAAAGATTATTACTACATAATAATTCGCGCTTGTTTGGTTTTTGTCAAACTGCTTTTTAAAATACTGAGTTAGCTTTGAAATATTTTCCAAGTAGTTCCAAGTTATCATAACTTGAAATATTTTATAAGTTATGATAACTTGGAACTACTTGGAAAATATTTCAAGTTTTCAAGTTTAATATATACTTTAATTATTAACTCGAAATTAGTTTTAAGTCCCTATCAGTTAAATTAACTTACAAATATAGCTATATATTATATTTTTAAAACGGGCTAGTCAGAGATATTATGGTCTCTGGTCAGTATGGGAACACAAATGACTTATCAAGTTAATATCGAGGTAACTATTTTTTATTTCAATTGTTAGATGAGTTGATTGCGGGAAAATGACTAATAATAGGAGTAATTTCTAGTTTTTACATGATTCTAAAATTGTTAAATTACTTGTATTTAATACATAATTTTTTTATGGATTTACATATGTTTCCTAATAATAGGCAGTCATCATATTGACACGGTTTTACGATCCGGTTGTGTAATAATGAAACGCGATGACGTGTGTGTTTACTTTCGCCGAAGCCCAGTTAAGTTTCTGACATATTGTTTCGTAGGGAAATCCACGCTATGTGAGGAACGTTACGAGATGATAGTAGGGATGTCACATTCAGTATAAAACGTTTATTACTTAATCAAATACTTTTGTTGTCATATTGTCAATAAAATGTCAATAAATAAAAATATGTTTATTTAATAACTAATTATTTTTCTATAAACGTAATAATTGTTTATTTAGGTCACCATTTGATCTTGTTTTCAAAAACTACCAAGAAAATATTGATTAAAATAATCTATTTATTTATATATATATTTTTTAATATTGAAATAGTTTAAAAAAGTATATTTTTGTAGAATAATAATCGATTTTTTTTATAATCCATTATTTTTTCACATCCCTGGTCATGAGGCTTATTGTGGACAATGATCGCGACCGGTTGCATTATCGGGTTAGAGATCGGGTTTTCCCATGACGTGGGTATATAAAACCCGTGAGTGGCACATTTATACTCGCTGTGTATTCGATAACGATACTTGGAAGGTTTCATTGCAATTTCTTTCGATTCAGTATATTAAAATGAAAATTATTGGGTTATAAATGAGGGTATCGGTATCATTTGAGTTTTTTGACTAAACACGTGGGCAAATCCAGTATTTATATTATATTGTTTTTTAAGAATAGTACCAGAAATGGCCAGAAATAACATAAGAAATACAAGTACAATTTTTACTTTTAGGTAGGATTTAAATAGTTAAATAATCATTAATAATCAAGCTACTTAAATAACCATTAATATTCTATGCTAACTAGTTATTTTGATACAGATAAAGTTGTCAGTAGATTTTATCATATTTAAATATTTTTTGCAAAGTTTAAGTACCTACCTGCCCTTTTTCTGTTTTAGCTAACTTATTATTTTTAGTTAATATGTTTGATTTTACTTACCTACTTAAGTTGAAGAGTCAATAATAATTATTTATTCTAAACTGAGTTTTTGTTTATCTATAGGGGGGTAAAGTAGGTAAGTATAATCATTAGAAATTAAGATGGATGGGTCACTTTAGCCGAGTTTTGTATAACTGTGCTCAATTGAATCAGGGTTAACCGCCGAGTCTGCATTCGTGACGAATTTCGATGCGTTTATTTAAATGATGTGGCTGGCGAGGTCACAAATCCAGTCATACTACTTACACTCATTGCTCGGTAAATAATGGGGGCAGTATCAGAACTGTCATTTGCTACAATCATGTCTAAATTCACTAGTGATATGTTAGAAGTATATGTAGTGTATATATTGTGTACACATGTCAGCATTTGACAGCTATTCATGTAAAAAATGCATAAATGTATAAGTATATCTATATTTTAATGATAATGGAATAGTGGGTGCACTATTCCATTATCGCTTACGCTAACGGTTTATGCTGAAACCAAGTGAAGAATAATAAGGTGGGCACGTGGTTAAGTCAGTTGGCCCATCGTGGCAAATATATCAGGAATTTATTACGATGGTTTCCAGGCGGAACCACGTACTAGTAATCCCCTTCCCCCAAATATTTCTGTATAGTCACTGACTGCTTCTCAGTAAGTTAGTGATATTTCGGTCATGATAATAAGAATGGTTGCTATTACGCGGGCTAGTGTAGGCAGAGACTCTGTCTAATTTCTTGTCATCATGTCATATTTGTTAACCCTTTGTGAGCGGAAATATAATAGTCGGTTAGGCTTTTCTATAAAAATATCGATAGTGTCTGGTAAACAATGCAAAATAAAACACGTATACAGTACTATCTTTGCTTTTTTAGACTTATTATTTAGACTCTAAACTACTCGTTGCAGTTAGAGCATTCTCTGTTTCACATGTATATTTAATTAAAATAAATATGTTTACAAAATTAGTAAAGCCATGTATAGTCCATATAGCGGTGTTTATGTAAATAATTCCTAGTAAAGCTAAAATATTCTTTATTATTGGTATGGAGATTTCCATAAGAGTGACAGCACAAAAACTAAACAAGCGGTTGTCTCCGCCCCTCCTTCAAGCCGGTGAAAGCTGTGGTGAAATGCATTAAGTGTGATGCCAAGTCTGTTTCAGGCAGATAGATGACATTATAGATTATGGATAAGATCTGTATTTTAATCTCATCTAACGATATTTAGCTATAATTTTATCTTTCTTTTATATTTTTGTTTCATTACGTAAACTGTCTCTTGTGTAGGTAGGTTTTTGAAGATACAAAGAAATAATTTTAAAATTGATTTTATACGTTCATTATATGTCCAATTGACATATAATGATTTTTCGATATTTTTCGTAGTTTATAGTCAGTGAGATATTAAAAAAAAATATTTAACACTCATGGCTAGTGTACATATCTATTACTTATATCTATACATATTATGTACTTATCTGTCTTATTTAGGTACCTGTCGTTATACATATTGAAGCTATTACTTTGAATAATCATTATTTTAACAACTTCCGTTAAATAGTCCCATTACATAAAAATGTCCTTGTTTAAGATGAATTACACCTATAACAGTCTACTAGTTACTGACACGCAATTATCGAGCTGTTGGAACGTAAATAGAAATACTTACTTAATGTGGATTTTTTAAATTTTGTTACAGCTAAAACATGCTCAAGTTATTTGCTGCGGTCCTACTAATTGCGGCGACTGTAAACAGTCAATGCTTTTATAAAGATGATTCTTCAAAGAAACTAGATCCAGCCGCACGAACTTCTTTGTACAGAGGGCAGATGGAGTTTACACTGAACCTATTCAATGAGATTAATAAGCAAGTTCCGGAAGATAATATCTTCTTTTCCCCATTCTCGGTGTATCACACGTTGCTCCTGGCTTACTTCTCCGCCGGTGGTCACACCGAGGATGCGTTGAAACAATCTTTACAGTTAGATGAACACCTGGTAAGTTATATTTTAATTGTTATTCTAAACATGATTATTTGCGAGAATTGGTTGTAACTTAATAATTCTTACAGTGGTCAATATTTGACATAAACGAATGCATTCTTTTAATTTGTCTGTTATGGTAATTATTGCTGATCAATATTTTTTAGGTAATAACTTGTCTACTGTACCAATATTTCGCAAATAAATAAATAATTTCATTCCCATTCACCCATATATTTTAATGGATGATAATGGTATGTTTATCCGTCTAAGCTATTGAGATTCGCGGTGGGGTATCAGTGGAGGAGAATAGGATAAGGACGTAGCTTACGTCAGTTAGCCCAATGAGCACATTCATAATCATTCATTATTGACCAGGAGTTAATCATGGTGGCTTTCAGAGAGACCGCGTGGAAGTTAACTCATATGCCCAATAGTAATAATCTCCTTCCAGCAAATATAATAAATTTATAAGACACATATCTATAGCTACATACCTTCCCAATAAATTAATGCAATATATTTATATCACATTATTTTTTCATTCCAGGATAAGATAAACTTGATGACAGCTTACAAAATAGACAAGCGGTCCCGGTTAACTAATAACAACAGCGATAGCTACGAGTTCATAAGTGCCAACAAATTATACCTTGACGACCAACTCGAAGTACGCCAATGTCTATTTGATCTATTTGGAGAAGAATTGGAGAAACTTGTAAGATTTTTTTCTTTTATCTATCTATTTGTAAAATTTGTCGATTAACCTTTAATTTAGATACTTGTGTAAAAGTCTCTACTATTATTGTTCGTAACTTGAACTCTGCATCTGTTATTCGTTGTTTAAAAGGATTTAATATAATATAATCTAACTAATAAATAAAAATAAATAAATAAAATAATACCATAGAAAAGTTATTACAACTTATCTAATACTAAAATTATAGACATGGAGAGAATATCAATGATATTGTTTCAGTACGTTACATTATAAGGTACTTCAACTTTAATTAATACTAGTACAGCCCGTATTTTGCACTCATGTACATTAGTTAAATATTTTTAAACTGATTGAAAAAACGCTAACTTTTAAGTAAATCTTATTACAATTTTTTGGGCAAAATCACATTCTAATAGGTTAAGTTTCCTTAATTAGTGCGCATAAACGCACAGACAAATAAACATTGACAAACTTTTCCAATAATAGATTTTCTCATGTATCTTTAAGGTAGAGTCAGCGATCATATCGTAAATATATTTTTATTATATGTATATACGATTCTAATAAATTTCTATTGTTTACAGAATTTCCATGAAAATCCTGTTGTATCGCGTGATTACATCAATGAGTGGGTTTCTCGTGTTACCAAGAACAACATCAATGACTTATTGCCAGTAGATGGTATAACAGAAAACACTAAGTTGGTGTTAGCGAATGCGGCATATTTCAAAGGCGTTTGGGCATCCAAGTTTCCCGCTGAACGGACCAAGAAGGAAGCTTTCTTTGTATCTGAGACTCGTCAAACTCTAGTACCGTTCATGAAACAGAAGGGTACTTTCCATTATTGTAAGTGCAATTTATAATTTTATTTATCTGTGACATTTAAAGCATATTGTAGGCTTAATGCCTATTGAAATTATTGCATGACATTAAATAAAAAAACTATATAAGCTACAGTTTTTATATACATAGGTACATTATATTTATTAACATAAATAATATCAAAATAACATTATTTGAATGATTTACAAGTTGTAATAAAAAGAAATTACATAGTATGACAGGAGCGAGGCCTGACACCGTATTCCTTTGAAATCGCAACGTTTCCGTATAAGGGGCAACATGGCGTTGTAGCTAGCCAGTCTTGGGTTTCATACTATATATTTTAATTGTACTTACTGTATGGTTATTAGAGTGAAACACCACAAATCATTACAGATATTTATGTTTATTACGTTACAATTGTTGGCAATGTTCCTCTGTAAATACAAATTGTTCCTAATTGTCTCGTGTTAATTATTCACAGCGGTGAGCGATGATCTTGGTGCCCAGATATTAGAACTTCCATACAAAGGAAATGACATCAGCATGTACATATTACTTCCTCCTTACTCTATGAAAGAAGGTACGTACCTAACTTCGATTTATTCCTAATTAAATTTTATAGGCCAGCTATATGTACTTTAGATTAGAAAGAATACAGATACTAATACAGATAATTGTAAATTAAAATATACCTATTTACCTGCAATGATGGCTGGCTCATCCGTCATACTCGTGAATGGGTGCTGCTTGTGGGGACTGGTCTGTTCAGGTTGCGAACACTGATAATTTTTTTTGTTCTTTGCGAATGCATATGCTGGTGGTCACTCTATTCTCCCAAATTTGAAATTTAATGACTGTGTATTATTATAAACATGTTCCACTATTATTTGTAAAAAATACGAGCTGAGTTTCGTGTCAGTTCTTCTCATCTCGATAGCATTCCGAACTGACGGTAGTTTGACATTTCATAATAGTCTGTAATAGACCTACATGAATAAAGATATTTTGAATTGAATTGAATTTAAAAGCGGTTACAAGCTTGATACTCATTCGACAATGTTTATATCTAAAGTTACTTTAAACTCTGAATTTATAAATCTTCTAGGGATTTTCTTGGAAAGAATATTATTATATTTAATATATCATTATTAATTCTGTTTTTTTTTTATGCATGAACTACCATACTGTATTATATCAATTCTACACTGATCTGTTGTAATTTGACATAGAGTTTACTCTGTTATTTTTGATACAAACTTTTTAAATTATATTTAAATAAACTGAATATAACATATTAAAATTGCAGGTGTGACAAATATAATTGCGAACTTAACTCTTGAACGTTTGGCTGCTGTTGTTGAAGAGAGCTACATGGGACGCGAAGTTATTGTTGAGATACCCAAATTCACAATGGAAAGAACCCTCCCACTACGAGATGTAAGTAACTGTACCCTTACCCCGTATTTTCATCTAATAAGTCACAACAAACGATTTTGAGACAAGTAGGTATTTAGATAGTTTTAGCGGCATATGGAGATAGTAAAGTAGAGTTTTATAGGTGCATACTAAACTCTTTATATTTATGTTCTAAACATGTTTTATATATCCAGACACCTATAATACAAATTATTTTTGGAGTAAACGTATCTCCTTTGTTGAGTCTTGATAACTTTTACGCATTTTTATAATTTTAAAAAATTGTAGGTATACGTATTTATCTGGATGAATAAGTAAATACACAGTAAGCTGTATCTATCCTAAGTACCCTAAATAGGTACATCTAAATATATATAACTCAAAGGTGACTGACATAGTGATCTATCAACGCACAGCCCAAACCACTGGACGGATCGGGCTGAAATTTGGCATGCATAAAGCTACTATGACGTAGGCATCCCCTAAGAAAGGATTTTTATAAATTCCACCCCTAAGGAGATAAATTAACGCGAGCGAAGCCGCGGGAAAAAGCTAGTATAGGCATAAACGTAGTACTTAAATGTAAAAGCATCAAGTTATTGGTATTATTAATATTTTGTATAAAATATAAATTCGGGAGGTCCCTTGTGTACATACCTATATAATCTTTTCAGGTTTTAGAAGGTTTGGGCGTGGGTGATGTTTTCAACTCGAGTGCCGACTTTAGCACGTTAACAGAACAGAAGGGAATTCTTTTTGACGACGCTGTGCATAAATCAAAAATCCAACTTGATGAAGAAGGTAACATACATCTGTATTAATTATTTATTGTATTGAAGTTTAGTTATAAGCACTTTGTAGGATATCCCATTGTGTTGTCATTGGAACATGTAATCAATGTTGTCTTTAACTATCTCAACCTTAAGCCTATAAACCTATAGTTATTTTTTGACAGAATATTTTAATGAATGAAATTAACCAGAGTAATTATGTACATCGAAGTGTGTAAATATATACCATCATGTATTTTAAAAAATCCTGAATTAAAATATCCAAAACGATAACGATCACAGCTCGTTTATTCTGATTAATTTTATTTAGTTTCAAAATGATCAAATTTAAAATGTTTATCTTTTCATATTCCTAATAAACTATACTAGACTTTATTCGGTATATGAAAAGATAAACATATAATCTGTTTTCTCTTATACGAAAGTCTTACTCTCCATTTAAATAGATAATGGATGGTAATACAATAGGCAGTAAATAAATATATTAAAGAGGAAAGAAAACTGTTCAGAAAGTAGTTTTAATTATATTTTAATTTGCGGGCACTGTATATTGAAATTTATTATATATTCATTAATATATGAATGTATTTGCAGGTACCGTAGCTGCAGCGGCAACAGCCTTGTTTGGTTTCCGCTCTTCGCGGCCGCTCGAACCAACACGCTTTGTCGCCAACTTCCCCTTCGTTTACGTGATTTACGAGCGTCCCACCAACTCTATTCTCTTCATGGGTGTTTACAGAGATCCTAAAAAATAGATTCCTTCACTCGACATAATATGACTTTCACACCTACAGAGGTTTATAATGGTGGAATTGTTTTAATGGTGATCAAGTCCGTCCAAAAGTCCGGTCCGTTTGTAGCGGAATAGAAGCTAAAATATATTTTATTAATGTTTTTAATATAAACTGATTTTGGTTGAGCATAAAAAAACAAGTCGAGTGTTTAACTTATGTTGAACAAGTTATTTGTCATATTTAATATGTTTGGTTAAAACTTAATCACATGTTAATTTTATACTATGTAAATTCTCTTACTTGTATGGACATACCTAAGCAATATTACGTTGCATGAAGTTGAGGCTTTCATTAGTCCAAATGTAAAAAAAGTCTCGTCTGTATAGTATGAATTTGAATAATTACATTTATAAATTGGTGCTTTTGATAGTGTACACGTAATGTGGTGTAATAGAGTGATTATTATTTTACTTTAGATAAAGAAAATGTTCATAATAAGAGACTTCTATAATTGCTTTCTATTTATTCTTTATGTATTATAGATATAATTTGTAATTCCTTAAATATATGAAATGATCCTGTTGATCTGCTTATAACTTAAATATGTAGCCTGGAGCTACAATGTACCTGGGTATATAGTACCTATATTATCAATAATATAAGAAACTGTTGTCATTGAACTAAAAGCAGATTATATTATTACTTACACAATTAGCCTATCAAAGATATTAATACTATAGAATGTCATAAGGTTTAGTTTTTGTAATGATGAATATTTATAATGAAATCTAATTTAATATAACTATGTTAAATTACAATAACATATGATTGTAATAACTTTTATAAGTTAATAATTAGCAATTATGTTTATAACACTTTAGTTTGTGAATTACTATTAAATCAAAATTATCTCGTCAATACGGCGAAGAATAAATACGTGTTTATATTTTTAATAATTCTCTACTTTTCCACGTTTCTTATTACATTTCTAACCGGCTCTTATACAGAGTTTACATATAATATAATAATAATAATCTCAGGACAATTCACACAGCGCCATCTAGACCCAAATTAAGCTAGCTAAAGCTTGTGTTATGGGTAATAGATAATATACAAATACATAGATATATTTTTTTGCAAATATATACATATTATACATAGAAAATACCCAGACCGGCACAAACAATCATACTCATGAATACAAATGTTAGTGCCGTGCGAGGAATCGAACCCGCGACCAACAGATTTAAAGCAGTGTGCTAAACCGCTAGACCACCGAGGTCGTCAAACGTATTAAATATGTAAAGAAATTATTTATCTATACATATAAATAAAATTGGAGTGTCTGTTTATAATACTGAAATAACCGTTTTTTACTATATGTATATAAATACGGTACATACACCAAAATAACATTTTTACAATTTTTGTCTGTCCGTCTGTCTGTTCCTGCTAATTTCTGAAATGGCTGGACCGATTTTAACGGGACCTTTTTTGGCAGGTAACTGATAAAATAAGGAGTAACTTAAGCTACTTTTATTTTAGAAAAATCTTTTATGTTAGAAAAATAAAGTTAAAATCCACGCGGACGAAGTAGGCGCTAGTTTTTAATAAATTATATAATGCACAAAGTTAGGTACGTAGAATCTTTATTATATTATGTATTTTTTTTGTATCTGTTTATAATTCCTATACTCCACTTAATTTCTTTATCTTGAATAGATCACAGGCTACTAACTCTAGGATAATTTCAGAATGGAATAGCCGGTATATATCGGGTGTTCTTCCACAAATTTGTATAGTCTCTGACCGCGCAGCAACAAATACCTAAAAAATAACGGTATTCATTCACCTGCAATCCAATACAGAACATTATTAAAGATTAGTGTGCACACCAGGTCCAGGCAAAATTGGACTTCCGGATGGTGGGAACAACGGATGCAGACTCTTGAGAAATGTAATGAAATGCCACCAGCAAAATAGTTTGAATGACAGTAAACGGAGATTGTATCTTCGCCAAGTAGTTATTTTCGATAACTTTTTTTTGACTGGTGTAAATATAAATAGGTAATTATTTAAAGTAGAAAAGCGAAATCTAATATTTTTTTAATATGATATTTTATTTATCTATACTTATATTATAAATATAATTGGAGTGTCTATTTGTAATACTGAAATAACCATTTTTTACTATATGCATATGAATATAAGTACGGTACGTACACCAAAATAACATTTTTTATCATTTTTGTCTGTCTGTTTGTTCGTGCTAATCTGTGAAATGGCTGGACCTATTTTGACGGGACTTTTTTTTGGGAGGTAGCTAATGTAATAACAAGTAAATTGGGCTACTTTTATTTTATAGAAATAGAGGTAAAGTCCACGCGGACGAAGTCGCGGGAACAGCTAGTTAATAATAAGAAAATACGGAGCATATTTTCTTTTTTTGCACTTAAATTCGCAATCAGTTGTATATTCAGAACTTTTGGTGTGATCTCAATCAGAAAATTTAGCCAATAGATAACCGATAGACTATACGTGTTTGTAGTTTATTATTAAAATAAACTATTCATATGTGGAAGATAAGATAAAATCTAAACGGCTTGACCTAGAAACATAAGTGTAATAATTTTATTCATGTCTTCAGTTATTAAATGTTGAATAAGATGATATTTTTATAGACGTTATATAAAGTATGCATGGGTATCTCCGTCTCAACGTATCAGTCGCCAGGCCAGCCCAGGCGTCGCTGCGTCGCTTGCTTTGTAAACTGTATTTTATTTGGAGGTTGAGATAAGGCATAGAAATTACAAGGTACGGTTACATACCATATTAGTTCTTTGGAATGATAACGCATGAGTGGTACCACGTCGTATCGACTACGGTTGCCACTTACCACCAGAGGAGCCGTATGATTATATGTCATTATAGTTTAAAAAAATATTCATATGTAAAATGTAGTGTGTTGCAGTTTAACATAATGTTTATATACCTACAAGTATTAGAAAGCTTTCAAAAATAAATATTCAGGCTATGTGTATGCAGATGAAAATAAGTTTTCTTTAATTATTACTCTTGCAATAACTAAGTCACATAATTACAGAATTAGTTAGATGGGTAGCTGATTAATTCAGTAATTTGCAGCCGTGGTCTATGAAGAGTCTCGTTAAAACTATATTTTGAAACAAACGAACTAATATGCCAGCCAATGAGAAACTATAATAAAGAGAGTCATAGACATACGTGTAATTGATTATTATACTACATACATCCCAAAGATTTGTTGAAATAGGTCCCAGTACCAGGAAACCTTCTACGTCGATTTTTATTTCTGATTGACTCTCCAGTGATTAAGTTATCGATAAATATTATTATTTAATAAATTTATATTATTTTATTTATGTACGCTACCTATGCATGTGCTACGCTATGCATGTGTGAGACCACAAATATTAAGCGCGGAAATATGATCACCGCTATTGGAAGCATTATGACCTCCACCAGTGAGCAAATTCCGACCGTAATTTGATCAGTTTGAGCTATATTACGTGTTTCACCTCTAAACGAGGGATCACCAGCTGTGACTACGTTAATTAAGATAAAACCACAATTAACCAAAGAGACGGTGTTAAGCTCCCCCCTGCCACGTGTAATTCAAATATACAAGTACTTGTGAACCTAATAATTCACATGTCTACATTTCACTGAGTATGTGAAATGTAGACATGTGAATTATTAGGTTAACCACGTCACCGTGACGGCGACAGTCACCCCTGCCTTTGACTATGCCCAGTTAGAATAAGACTTATGAAGTTACATTATTATAATAATAATAATCATTGCTTACTTTTGTTTTCATTTATAATTTATTTTAATGAATGAAATGCATGAAATTTGTAGCCTATATGTTATTCTGATGTATAAGCTATATTACTGTAAAGTTTCGTCAAAATCCGTTCAGTAGTTTTTGCGTGAAAAAGTAACAAACCCATCCATACTCACAAAATTTCGCGTTTGTAATATTAGTAAGATATAAGTTAGTAGTAGCTTAAGAGAAATTTACAGTTTTTATTTGATTTATGCAACTTGCAATGATAAACATGCTGATTAGTTACTATTTCCCAGTGATAACCATCGCCTATTCATAATAAGAGGGTCTTCACTGCAGACCCGTTAGGATATTAGTGTTCTGTGCTGCAGACCCTATGTATTGTGGACTAAGGTTAAACTCTAAAAATTACAGCTTGCAACGTAAACGAAAACTGAAGACAGAGTAAATAATTACAAATCTTAGGTAAACTAATTTTGATAAATACTGAAATTAATTTCTAACTTTTGATATTATTAAACACATTGGGTATCGGTACCGATCAAAATGTTGAAATTCTTTACGTGCTAAAAACTTTCGAAAGTTCTCTTAAAGTCTAATAAATAAAATATTTCAAGAACATTGATGTAGGTATGGTATGAACTTATATTAAAGTGATAACTGGAAAATCGCCTTTAATTTATGATGATTGACGGCCCATCAGCGCGCACTAGGAGAAAGTTCGAGTGCTTCACAATATTCACATGTCTATTTGTATTAAGCATGTTACAAACGTATGTAACTTATCTTTTGATGTGCAATAATTTGTCGATTTTTCGATCTGACACCTACTGTGTCTCTATGGAATGTCATATATTTTATGTGATAATAATATCTATTTATCACCAAAATCTAGTCGATGATCACGATATTTAAAAAATTGCCAATTGTTTTAAGATCATCGTTTTTCATTACAAATGTCAAAATAATAACAACTTCTGTCGTCGACAAATTAGTGTCATTTTACTGATTTTTAAATTTATATTATATTCATAATAACTATGATTTTACTCCCTGTTGCAGATAACACAATCATAGTCTCAAAAATATATTTTAATACATCCCATTCCTAGATCACCGTAACTGTTTGCCTTCGGGGGATGAGGAAGGGAAATCTATCGTAAACGCAGAGTACATTATTTAAACAATTTTATTGTCAGTGTTGGTAATGCGAGTGCGTCATGCGACCTGCCGTAGTGTTTGGCTATACGGGTTTAGGTCATTTGTTTTCTTTTGTTATATTACATTTACTGACTCTGGACGAAGCCTTTGTTTTTGAGGTTACTGCACTAATATTATATCTAAAGAAGTTCCTGAAGATTTTAGTTGTGTGTTGCTCGTTATTTGTAGCTAAGAATAAAGTTTTATACCTACCAATAACATTATGATTACTTATTACGAGTCTAAATAAAGTTTGAACGAGTAAGTGTAATTCAGTTATTTTAATATGTATACGTGTACCTTTAGGTATCTAGAGCGAGGGGAGCACAACAGATCTATGAAGGTCGAAGTGGCACAGGTCTCAGCACCTGATAGTAGCCCAAAACTCTCCAATAAAGAAATAGATATCTAAATAGTATCTCATAAATTATATTATTGTAAGTACCAAGGGTACTTAGATATAAGTAGGTATGGTAACATGATCCATCTTCTGAAGTTAGTATATTGTTAGTATATTTGAGTCGCTTCAGTGACAAAACGTTGGCCAAAGAACTTCTATTTAGATCTTCTGCTTAATATCACTCTCATCATTTTTATCATAATTTAATTATCCATTGACCATTACTAAACGTAGACTTAACATCCTTCACACAAAAGTATGTACTGCCCGCAGACACTTGTATCCCGGTATCTTAGATATGTTTGAAGTTTTCACAAGATATAGTTGTTGTTTACTTGAAACTGTATGCAATTAGGTACAAGATCGATATTAAGAGATTTTAATCACCTGCAAAAACTTTGTAAATTATTCAACAAATGTATGTTATTTAGTTTATTAAAAAACAATGGATGGAAAGCAGTAGGTAGGTGAACAAATCCATCGGAAGCTGGCTGCGGCCATCGATAGAATCGGTGTCGAGACAATAGAACTAATTAGCACGTATGCACCGCGGCGACTCGTGCGCGCCGGAACAACCGCTGAAAACAATAGCTGGACGGGCTCGTTGCCTTATTATATTTTATGCCATTATGTGCTTTTTGTTAGTACGTCTTTGAGCCAGTACAATGTGGATATATTACATCGTTTAACCACTCAATTGATACAACTTCCAGAAATACTACTACTGTCTACTTCAGTGATTTAGTTACCTTTCGTAGTCAAAACAACATTTGTTAATTTCTGTCATCGTAAGGGTATCACTAGTTTTACTGCTTAATGATATTTTTTAACGATCTTTATGAAATATTTCTATATATCATGACCCTTTCATAAAGATGTGATATTTATCTTTAAGAATATACATAAAAACTTATAGGCATAACGCAACTTAGCTACCTAAGTTTTTTATTCCTCTCAAATCTATCAAAAGGAAAAAAAGTTAGAGATACTTTCTACAATACAAGGAAATATATCTTTCTTTATCTTCGCATGGTTATACTTTAAATCGTAGTATATTTTAACTAAATAGAATTTCGTAAATAATAAATCAATAAATGTAATTATAAAGGTGTAATTGTACTTTCAAATAAACAGTTAGGTATTATGGTGCTTTAATCTTAGAAACTATATTTATATATATACAGGTTTTTAACTCTGTACAGTGGTAGTCTCTTATTATATATTTTTTATAGAATATCTTGATACTGAATACAGTTGTACTCTACTGATGCAACATAAAAAACCAATGGTAAATAGTAAATTGTTACTGGGTATTACGTGCACCTATCGTAAATGAATTATGGTCCAATAGCATTATATGGCGTTTGCTGAAATTATAATACTTTTTGAAAATTGGGGGTTTGATTTCAGTATAATAGGATTAGTTTATAAGTCTGTATATTTGTATTGAATGTTTTTATGTGTAATATTTATATTAATTATACGTCTCAATGTATTCATTTTTATAAGTTAGTATCGAGTATCCATTAATCTTAGCATTATCTAATAATTTATCATTTACACTGCTGTCGAAGGCATAAAATAAATAATATCAAATAAAATACAAATTATATCATAAAAACATTTTATTAGCAAACTATCGTAGGAAAGTAAAAATATAAGAAATTCAATACAAAACTGCAAATCTTGTAAAAAATTATGGTAGCTACGTTTACTATTACAATTATTAACAAAAAATATTGACGGTGTGATACTGATAGGTACAAAGTGAACAAACAGGCAAATAACATGCGTAACGCGTCGTTTTCTGTGAATACTGAGATTAACGCACTTGTCTATGTCACTCACAATTTATATCAGAAAATATTCCTTACTAATTCAATTACATTTGGAAGACCTTAGTGATTGAACAGTGCCTCTTTTTTGTAGCGTGAAAGTGACACTGTTTGGTAGAAGTTTACAGATAAGCAAAAATCACAGCTCCGGTTAATCAAAATACAATTATGTTTTTGTTTCTTATTTTCTTCTTAACCATAGTTCTATAAATAAATAATGACAGTATTGTACAGAACAGGTCTCATTTAAGGGTGACGCAGACGACCTCTCAGGTACATCACATCGTAATGTGTCGGTCAATCCGCCTTACAGTTCATCATAATGATAAAAATATAGCACTGCCAGAAACGCACTTCGAATAGATCATTCCCAAATAAATAAGTGATATTTAATATTTACAATATGTGGCTGGCATTCGAATGTTTCTGCTGTGATCTTTCGTCTACGACGCCCTTAAATTTACACTGATATATACTAGATTAAATTAAATTACTCATGCATTAATTATTCATAGATATCTTATAAATAAGACATAATTATCAATAAAATCTAATATTATTAACTCAGGAACAAATGCAATAAAAATCAATCAATATTAATATAACTTTTTCAAAATATGTATTAAAAATCAACATATTTTAATGTAATAATAATACATTACTGGAATATATTATCAATCATTTATGCACATGCATAACTTATCAAAGTATTCATAGTATCATCTTATAATAAATTGGTAAATCTCTCAAAAGTTTCATATTACATACGTACTTATTAACACTATAAATTCGCTATCTTTTAAAATACCATCTAATGAGATTCGAGTGGTAGAGTATATAAATTTTACTTCACAAATGATTGTTTTATTATATCATTTATAATTAATAGAAAGTTAATGAGTATTGTTAATAGTATATTCTCTGATTTACAAACTACAAGTTTTACTAAAATACAAATATCGACGACATTTTGCTTATCAACACCCTGCACATATGTAACAAAAGAAATATTGAATAGATACTAACAATGAAATAAATGCATAATTAAATTAAACATAGTATTTTATACAATATAGGAAGAGGTTGTGATTTACCATAAATGTAACCCAATAAATTGAGATATCATCTCTTTAATTCATGATATTATTCGCAAAATTACTTGAAACCCTGCTGTGCATTTACTCAGCATTGGTTTATGAGGTTTTAATATTTTAAAAAAAATTTCGTATTGTATATTTATGATAGATTTATATTTAAAATTATAATCCTATAAAAGAGCAAGCACTTTGTATTATATATTATAACCGAGTGGAGCAGATACTTAATAATGTTAATACCTACTTAATTCGATACCCATTTCCTATGCCAGTTCATACATATAGGTATATTTAAATATATCTCAAGATAATTGGACTGATTTGATGAATTATAAATATTCGTTAATTATTTAATATTTCTTTAGTTACACACTTTACACAGTCACAATAAAATCTAACTATATTGTCGCAAGTAACGGCAGCAGGAGTACATCTACATCGATTATTTATTTGTTAATAAACTGTTGAGTACCGAGATTTAGTTAATTTTAAAATATCAATCCGTTTAGTTTGATTTTGACACTTAAATTTCAAATTTTGATTAAATGTTGGAAAAAGTATATAAAGGTATTTTGCTTTATTTAACATCAATTCTGTAATCCATACTTTATATAGGAGAGAAACTTGAACTTGGTCAGTATAGGCAGTGTTTAGCTATATTTAGGTATATTACTACTATCAAAATTGTATTTCTTTCTATTGGCAAGATATAAATATATTAAAGTAAATAAAGGAAAACTAGAAATTGCACAAGGAATTCTTTCACAATCTTTGTTCTCAGGTAAGAACTATATTAATGTAAGGACGTCATGTTTTGTAATTCAAAATTATTTATATAAAATGTACCCCAATGTACTCAAAACCCATTTCAGTCAATAAAATCTATGTTATAATAACATTTGTATTATTCTGTCGACGTATATACACATAACGAGATCTATTTTTAGCTTCTTTAACACAGGTAGGCACTTCATAAAAGTTGTTCATATAAATCTATATAAAGTGCAAATAATGAATCTATATTTGTATCTACTTTAGATTTGTTCATTGTCATGTATATAACGGTAAAAGCTATTTTTAATATGTAGAATATCAATAATTTTTTTTAAAATTAAACTTAATAATGTCAACAATATATAAAACATACAATCATTCATTGTGTAAGTTTATTTTAATGTAAATTATAAATACCTATGGTCCTGTCTATGTATTTAATAGTTTTATCTAGTGGCCTTAGATATAATGAAATAGTTCGTAAAAAACGTGCTAGGTCGCGTGTCGTGCAAAAACAACATTGTGGGCCTAATGTGTGATACGGTGATACTAACCGGCTATAGCGAATGTGCCGCGGCTGTGACGTGCGGAGGTCGAAACTTATTGTTGACCGATTTGACCTTATTGCTAGTAGGTATTTAATTTATTGCTATTGATGATTATACTTAGTGGACTCTATAAAGTACACTGCCTATTTAAATTAAATTATTCTTTGTACTCCGGAAGTACATATAGCATGTCATAAAAATAAAAATATACTTAAACCGGAACAAGTAAAGTTAAATTATTATTGAGTATTATGTTTGTTTAAAGCAAGTGGCAACTGTTGCAATGTAGTATGTCGTAGTGCGCATAAGTTTGGTGGAATGTAGTGCCCGAGTTGCGGTGGCAGTTTGGCACTTGTGGCACAGTAGCGGTGGTAAACAGCGCCTCGACGCCCGCGTTGCGTCGCCCGCACACAACGTGCTGTGTCACGACTCAATACTCATTAAAACGACTTGGTTTCCTGCTATGGAGGTCGATTCGAATTAAATTCATTTTACTTTTTTACAAAATAATATGCTGCGTAATGTATTAATGAACAGAAAATTTCGAATAATGTTAGTCGTTTTGTGGTTAGATTTAATAGATTTGGTAATATGAATAGACGATAATAATCTTTAAATTACTAGAAACTGTGAAAGTTCGTTGTTTAAAAATTATTATGTTATCTGCATTATCTATTGCTGAAAATGATAGAGAAATGGATTAAACGGATTGGGTATTAGTAATACGGAGCAATTTACTAATAATGGACACCTTTATGTTTCTGATCGTAGATTGTCCGCCAGTTGATATTATTATAAGAAAACCTTATCAGCGGTCCATTACTTTGTGTAAACAACGTAAGACAAAACATTATGTAGTACATGGTCTGAACAAAGAAAGGCCATTTTATTACACGAGAAAGGGAGCACAATTTTAAAGACTATTATTGGAACAGCACTTGTATTTCTAATTTATAGCAATCTGAGAGCAATCAGGCCTCTCCTAGTATGAGGAGAAAGATGTAATATTGGAAACGAGAACCGTTCACTATATTGACCGATATGGATTGAATGGCAAAATAATTATTTTGTTCCTCTAAATACGCAATGATAACAATCATATTTAATATAATAAGCCATAACGCATTGCAGAGTACCTTATAATTGTAATGAAACATGTTATGTAACATTTACAATTCGTTCCACTGTCGAAAACGATAGTAAGTACGCAATACATGAGCCGTGCATGAAAAAAAATAACATAGCGACCAAAACAGAGAGCAACACTAGGTATATAGAGATGCGATAGTTGAACGGTGAAAGATGGTAGGTACTGAACGCTCGTTCTTTTACTCTGTTTTTATTTTATTTTTTAGAAAGTTTAGTCGGTCGCGCTGCGGGAGAAATTACGGCGGCGGCGAGCTAATCCCAGCGTTGCTCATCATTGTCTGTGGAATTTATCTGATGACTTTTTTCATTTCACTATTGATATCAGTATAGTCCCAGATAGCTAATAAATAAAATTAATATAAAATATATATCTGTATGGCTTATGTAAGACATCAGATTCTGCATATCTTTTAAATTTATCAAGAACGAAATATATCAGCTTACAAATGCGTAGAAATACGTTTGACTTTAGATTTAATTAATATTAACATGACTAATAAATATGGAATGTAAACTTTAAAATAATCTCATATATAAAACTACCTATTCTTAGCTAAAGCTAAAAAGTATTCGGTAACGGACGGATTTACACACAAATTAACAATTAAGACAATGTCTAAGAACTTTCGAATTTTTCTTTTCTAACTGCCTTATTTTTCTACAACTATGACATTAATTAGCACCTTACCAAATTCATGTGTGATATTTCAGCCTTTAGGTATTCGATTACATAATTATTACATCGATTATCACTGTGACAAAGTTCAATTGACTACGAATGTGAATGGCCGAGTCTGTAGCGGCGGTCGGTGCGGTTACCTCTGCTTATTCGGTTTCACAGCGCCATTGGCTGCTGCACTCTTTTGCGCGATGTGCGTCTGGTAGTGCTTCGCAAGGTGCGCTTTTTGACGGAAGCTTTTTCCACAAAGTGAACATGAAAACGGTTTTTCTCCTGTATGCGTCCTTACGTGTACGTTCACAGAGTATTTGTCTTTGAACCCTTTTGAACAAATTGAACAGTAATGAAGTGATCTTTCTTTTCTAACACCATTCGATGTTGACGTGGCTGCTTGAATAGCTGTGCCAGACTGCGCTTGAGTCGTCGGTGGTGAACTCTTATTCGGTATTCTTTTATATTTTTTGCTGGCTGTTTTTGTGCTGGTAACAGTTGGCGAAGCGGTCACGATTTGCAAGTGTTGTGGCAATTGAACTTCACTCGCAGGAATTGTAACTAGTTCACCGTTTATATTCTGTATATTGTATACATTACGAGTCGGGTCGATGGGCTCCACAGTATAATATGGTTGTATCGATTCCCCGAGTTCAGTGGCTATCCGTTTTAATTTTTCATAATCCTCCGGATAATTGTTATCTAACTGAGACAATATAATATCATCGACGCTTTGCGTTGAAGATGGATTTTCTCCATTAGTGATAACTGTGGAATTAGTGTCTTCAAAAAATATAGAAATGTTCACATTTCCATTTGGTGGTCCAATCGCCATTAGCAATGCGGGATCTGCATCTTTGTTATCTTGATATGTTGATGGTATTTCAGCTTTGTTGTTATTATTTATTATTAATCTTTTTAATTCTGTACTAGGTTCAAGTTTTATAGCATTTTTTTGTATAGTGCTATATCGAATGAAAGTTTTTCCTTGTAATGCACTTCTTAGTAAAGATTCATTCGATTCTGTGTTATGATCTGTAACTTTCCAATCATTATTATTATTATTAAATTCATCCTGTGTTTCTAAAATAGCCGCATTACCAACGATTGTATTTAAATTTTCATCTTTTTTATCACTGGTCTGGAAATCATTATCTTCGTAAGTGTATGGCTCTACTTTTACTAGATTACTTGAGGTCATGTCTGTATTTTGACTTTCAGAATCTCCATCTTCATAAGTAAATTCATCCACTTTTGTTAAATCTTGGTTAAAATCGTTGGGAAATCCATTCATACTTAAAATTGAGTCAAGATCTAAAGAAGAAGGTTGTTCTATATCAGTAGGACTTGACATTGAAACGTCTTCTTCTTTAGGCCAGTATCGATTCGTACTTGGTTCATTAATGTCTTGATTAAGAACTGTTAATGTGTAAATTTGTCCATCTGTATTACTGATAAGCTTATTAGAAATAGTAGTGTCTGTACAGGGGTGAGTGCCATTTATTTCGTTGTCCTGATTCCAATAAAACTTGTTGAGATCTTCTAGCATGGCAGAATCCAAGCGATCGCGATCACGATCAACGTTCCAAATAGAATCAAAACTCTGGAGGGTAGTGGAAGTAGTGGCAGTCGCCATACTATTATTAGAAGCAACTTGAGTACTTGTAACGCTTAATAAATTATTATTATTCTGCTCCTTAGGCTCCTCCGAGAGTAAAGGATTCGACCTAGAGTCCGGAGATTCCATAAACACGTTCACAGAACGCATCTGCTGTTTATACTGAGCATCTGTAACTTCATTAGACGTCACAAAATCAAAGAAATCTGATTTTGACAGTTCTGGGGCAGTGGCCGTCATGTCTACCGTTTCAATTTAATAACCGAGGACGACTGCTCGGTTAGTTTTATTATCAGTTCTGTTACATCAAGTAAAATGTAGTCGTATTTGTATTCTGTATGTTTTTGTACTACGGTAAGTAAATCTAAATTTATATAAGTGAATTAAACCCGATATGACTTGTACTTTATTGGCAGTCGCTAGAGCGTCGGTAACTGATTATACAGCGGATGAACGAAGCGTGGGGCTGGGGTGCTACTTGGACGAACCCAATGTGCTCGAGTCAAGCGGTGGACCAATGGAGTGTGCGAATTTGATCCGTACGTTCCTCTTTCCCATTATTCACCCCAACCCGTTCTTCTATATCTCAAGAACTCAGTTCACCAAGTTCGCTGTTACAAATGCGATGTGGTTTAGAATTTTTGCCATGGTTGTAGTGAAGTCGTCTGTCTTGAGCCAGCAGCTGTCTGAAAATAAAGAAAACAATATATTTTAATACCTGCACACAACATTACTAATATAAAGTGGCTGCTACTAAGATAAAATATTGTATTTTAATTATACGTAGGTATAAGTTAATAGTACTCATTTATATTCACTTGTTTTTTTTATAGAAATGTATGGGTAAAACGATTGCGCATCTTAAATATGTAGCTATTACTCGAATAAGTAATTAATTTTTAAAGTTGCATAGTTGGCGTCTACAGATCCTGTACGAAACCAGGGCGAGCAAGTCACGCGGCGAGCCGCGGCGCGCCTATTATATTATTTATCACGTAGCACTGAACGCGAGCTTGTCTGCCCACCGTCTCGGTGTAATGCGTAACGTTAGTGTCTGTAGTTTTTGTTTCATAATTTGTAAGTTTCAGTTATTTTTACATACTTAGGTTGTATAATACACCTATTTGATAAATGCTTTTTTCTATTGCTTAATATATATTTCTTTTACTGTGCATAATACGGTAAGTAATTTACATTTACATTTCAATAAAAAAACATGCAATATGAAAATCAGGCTTGATTAAAAAAATATTTACAGAAATACAATAAATATTTTGTTTCACATATAATTTACCTATCTATGGACTGATAAAGTGAGTTGGCATCGAACTGTTCAAAGTAAATTAAAAAAAAAGTCGAATTGATTAATAACCTCGAAATATGTCTTAAAACTTAGTTACTTCATTACATCTTCATACAAAAGATACATTTTTGTTTCCAAACAAAAATGTATCTTTTACAAATCGTAATATAGATATACATATAATGTAAGTATTAATCTACACAAGTTACAGGCTTATGCCTGTATCTTGCGTACTGTATGTACACTAACGAATTATTTAATTTACTGTGCTCAAATCTCCATAATATACCTACCTTGTATTTGTTTCTTAAGTGTCAGTTTTTGTGTATGTTTTTTATGGCAGTAATAAATAATTGAGTACTGAAAATAATAGACTAATGTACAGTTATGTACACTACAAATAGTGTTTGTGACGAATTGCAAATAATCTGTTGTTGTATTTTATTTTGATTATAATAAAGTCGTTAAAAGTGGTCATACCTACGCTTTATAATTCAATTTCAATTACTATCTAACAGTTTGTTTTCGAAATATAATTGACGGCGACTGAAATACACATTTTGTCTTAGGTGTGTCAGTGTGTTTTACAGCGGTATTACATTGGAACTGCGGAAAACCTAATTAGGAGGAATATATTGTATTGTAATTTTTTATTAGACATAGAAAAGACAAACGAGATTCGATGTACAATGTAGTTACACACATCGTTTTAAGTGATTACTACACAACTTTTGGGAAGATAATATTAACCAATAGAAATATAATTGGCAGCTTGGTGAGTGAGTGGTTTAGTAAACCGTCTTACTTTCAATCTTTCGTGGAGGTCTGTTACCGCCTATGTTATACGGTATAGGCTGGCAGGGCACTAGTGGAGAATGACAGAATGCGACCGAAATGCGTTACAGCAAATTCCAAAGGAGTTAACAACAACGTTTTCTAGAGGGGACAGCTTGCACGTCCTCCTATTATGGTAGGTACACTGCTAGCTATGGGGTCCCAATACTCCATAATAACAATCCACTTCCCCGTAATTTGGGATTGAGTAGGACTGTGGGATTTGACTTGGGTTATTAGTATTTTTTAAAGATTCTGGCACCAACTATTTCAGTTATGAGTTGACAAATCAGTGAGTCTCTTAGGATAAGACAACAACATATTTTTATAAAATAAATGATATCTCGTAAGTATCTTGTATGAACTTACATACGTGATTTGACTATAGACTTTCGATTTTATAGTGCACTTACTAATATCATAAATGTGAAAGTTATTCTGTTTTTCGTCTGTTTGCTACATTGGCACGAGTTAAACTAAGATTGTTAGCAAGTTTTTAGTATGTAGCAAAAAATACACGCTATAATATACTAGATATTATTATTTTACAAATATTAGCTTAGTATACATAGGTATATAAATATTTTATAACTCATAACATATACATAATACTAACACATACATAAAACTGCGCGGACACCTTACTCCCACCTAATTTTATAATGGACGCCATCGTAAACCATTAGTGGTGCAGCTCCTCCACTAATGGTTTACGATGGCGGGCCCCCAGTGGAGGATGATACGATGAGCATGATGTAGGTCAGTTTGCCCATTGTGATCAATTCGACTGAAATTAACCATGATGATTTCCAGGGGATCCGCATGGAGATCAACCTGACATTTTAGTTAGTTTAAAAGACAAAAGACGCGATTGTTGTCACTACGAGTTAGGTATATAATGTCATATCATAAGTGTTAAGTGAGTTCACCATAAATAAAAATAATGTGAAGAAAAACTTAAATTTTTAACTTGTGTCAAACCGAAGATATTACACGAATTATTTAATATACTTGTATAATTGTGCCTTCATCGTCATCATACTTTTATATTTTACTTTAACACTTAATTACTGTAGAACACATGCCAAATTTTTATTAAATTACGAAACCACATTGGTACGTACCTATTTATTTTTTAAGCATATGGGTATATAAGAAATAGATGTCGAGCTACTATAAATTCATATATAATTTCTACAAAAAAAATCTGGTTCTATTTCGCTTTAACATATACTATATTTATTATTCATTTGTATTGAATCTTTGTCGTAGCTTAATGACATAATGTCCAATAACGTGAAATGAGAAGGGTCTGTCAGAGACTGAGACTACGAATTTAGAGCAAACTCGCGGGACCGAAACATCTAGTATTACGTTTCACCTGTCAACTGATACAATACTCACTTGTTGATATTTCACGAAATATTATTTACTTGCCAAACAGGTATATAACAACATGTCATTTGATCTTAAAATATATTTTTATTGCGTGCCCAAATTTTGAATGTGTAACACTAAATAAGATTGCTACTGAACATATAATACTTTAATTAAGAAACCTTTTAAATAGTTTTGTTTCAATCTATAATACTCCTCTTCCACGCACGGTGCAAACATTTTGTATTCATGAGTATCATTCTCATGTTTGTATCGGTCTGGTTCTTTTCTATGTATATTATGTACGTATTTACAAAAAAAAAAATATCAGTTGTCTAATACCCATAACATAAGTTCTGCTTACCGTGGGACTAGATGGCGCTGTGTTAATTATCTAGGGTTATTTATTTATACTAATATTCTAAGTTGGAAACTGTACAACCGTCGTAAATCACAGAAACGCTTAAACGGATCTTTAGGTTTGACGATTTCATGTAAACATAAACTGTACCTAAATATTACTAGTATTTCATAGATTATGTTTTATATCAAATACGCACTTGAATCAGAATCAGTTACCACCATCACAATATAGTAATTAATAGTGCTACTTATGTAGACAACTTTTATTATTTTCATTTCAATTTTGCCATTCCAATTTCATAAAATAAGTCGTTATGTGGTTAACTAAAAAATCATCTAGGTATTTAAAGGCAAATATGAAAGGCATTAATAGGTAGTTATTTATGTTTCCACGAGAGATTACGATCATGAACATTAAGATTTTTACTTTTACAAAGAAGTTTAGTTTCGAAATTTGAATATAATACCTATCTCTTAAAAAACTAGTGTATGCAGTTAGTAGAGCTAAACGTAATGACTTTTTTGCCGTAAATATTTGTAACTGTAAATTACCATCAGGACCATTTATTAAATGATTCTGATATCGATAGTATAGCGATTTAGTCCTCAGTTTTTTAAGGTCGGTACTAATATTCATTAGTATTTTTATTGGTGAGTGTTTCATATGTAAAAAAAATCTTGTAGTATTCTCAGTTGTTATTTAAAAATGATCTTTCGTGTTCAAATGAAATGTTTTTATAGAACACTATTTAATTATTGTTTTCTTAATACAGTTCCTATACAACATAGTTCTTTTATTATCAAAGTACAATAGACCTATATATTAAATATTAAGGTTGGTATAAACAATGAGACTTTACAAAGATTGATTTACAAACGATTTCTTTTTTGCAAGTAATTGTTTGCGTAATTTATGAACGTATAGATTGCGGTCCACTAATAATTAAATCGCAACATGTAATGCTACCCAATAAATAAACTGAGAGTTGGCATGTCTTAATATAGTACATGCGGATGTTTTATGGTTACTACAGTAAAATATTATTGAGTCGTAAACGATAAATTGTTGATTAGCTGAATATCTGTTTTCACTGCCCTAGTAGACACATGGATGACAAATATTTATTGAATATAAAACATCAATCATGATGCTTATTTGATTCACATGATTAATAGAAAATAAAGACATGTTTTTTTATTCCCGAGGCTTAGGTATACAGAGTACATAGAATAAAGGGTTTTTTTGTTCAAATCTGTCGCTTTTTTAGTCTTTTTAGAAAAATAATTATACACTGAAGTACAGATTAAAACTAGTGAAATGAATCTTCTTAAAAATATTAGCTTTATTGTTGTAAGCATCTTCACTACTAATGAGAATAAGTCGAAACCGACTGATGGCCATAAATATATATATATATATATATATACAAGCCACTCTAGGCTAAAGGTCATAAAATTCAAAACTCAATTAGTACTTTATGTGTTTGCATCACTAATATGTATATTTTTATCTACCGAAACTACACGTAGTTTAACATTATATTCATAGTAAAATAATTTTAAATTTAAAGTAATTTTAAATAGACAAACATTATAGAAATATTTTTATACTATTATAATAACTTCATCAACTATTTGAGGCAAGCAAATCAGTTTGACCCAATATAGCCGTACTGCACTTCGTAATTACATATATAGCTACATAATATACCTTGAAACTCATTTCGAAATGCTGTGTTATAATATTTAATAACAAGACAGGCAATATATTAACGTAGGCCACATCGTTTACGACATGTGTTAGATGTA